AAATTATAAATTATAAGTTTTAACTTATAATTAATTTAGATAAAAAATAAATATTTAGGATTACTTTTTTATTTTTGTTTCATTATATAATAAAGTGTTTGAAAATTATTTAAATAAAAAATATGTAAAATAAATCAATTCAAACGGGCTCTAAATTCGACTTTTACCACATCAGATGCTAATTCGTACTAGATGGATATATGAGTCGCTTTCTCTAATTGGGAACTTTAATCAAGATTTTCCTTATCCCACTTGATTCTCTATACATATTATATTCTCCTTTATTTCATGGCTAATAATATAACTATAGGATAAAAGAAATTTAAAAAAAGACTGAACTATCATAAAAGAGAAATTAAAAACCGTAAAATGAACGTCCTTTTTCCGTATGCCATAAGAATCTTTTTTTTTTTATTTCTCATTTCGCATGTGATGCTTGCTTTAGAGCTTAACTAATTCCGATTCATGAAAAGTTTCATTTTAAAAGTAATGCGCTCTATACAAAAGATAATAATTAAACATGTAATTTCATATTATAATTTGAAATTATGATCTCGTATTTCAATTTTTTCAAAAAAAATAAAATGATCTTCAAATCATGATTTTAATTTTTTTAAAGTGTAGACTTGATCAATAAATTTGTATTTTATATATATATAAAAAAAGACACATCATTTTAATCTTTTGTAAAATTGATCCATGGTCCACATGAGATTATTCATACCATGTAAAAAGTTATATTAAAGAATAACTATTTACTACTACGGTTGACAAATGAATTTTCATAAAACTATGTTTACTTGAAAGTTTGTAATCACAAATATTTATTTATAAATGAAACGTGGAGATATGTCATTTATATATCAGCGTGACGCCTTAGGATATTTTGATATATTGTTTATGAAATATGATTTGTTCATTTGGTAAGATTGTATAAGAATTGATTTTTTTTTATGGTTTTCACAACTTGTGAGATTTCATGTTTATGAGAGAAAAATACAACTTAATAAATTCAAATTACATGTTCAAACAAAACTTCAACTTCATATTAATCTGATATCATGATTTTATATTACATATCGGACCCTTACTTTTATTTTTAGAGCTTGAATTTGAAATTTTAGATTAATGATAGAATGATACTAGTTACTTACTCACAAAGGGAGGAAGTCACCGGATTCACGTGAACCCATGCTCTTCTTCCGAGATTATATATGTAGTGTTCTATTTTTTAATCAATATTTAAATATATATGTGTGAACTCAAACTCGTAGTATCATATAATGCGATGATGACTGGGTGCACCTCTCTATGAGAGATGTTAGAAATCTGAATCTTTTATCTATCTTGTTTTATTTTTCTTTCTAAAATTGGGTAACACCTCCCTAAGTAGTTATTGGAGACACTTTTTGCTATATATACGAGAATTAGTGTTGGACCTATAAATTTATAATTTTATAATTTTAATGATATTCAATGATAAGAATCAAAATATCTAACCGATCAAATTTATATCTTAAATCCATATTTTCGTAATAGTACACCCGTCATCTCAAAATCCTAGCCTATGTCTCTGCTTAATTACGCACCACAATTTTTTATATATAGTTATCATGAGTTAATCGTGTATCGTGAAACTTTTTTATTTTCACATGTATAGTGTTAATATATGTGCATCAGCTGAACTAATTCTCTCACAAAATTCTGCAACCACAATCCAAATATTTCTTCTAATTACGGTGTTAATTTATTTGTCTAAAAATAGAAAAAATAAATTAAAGGTAACGGCGTTAAAATAATATTCATAATTAGGCACCTCGTGATAAGAATATAGAGTCTAATAATATTTGTGCAATATACGTGTAATATGTTTATATCATGACCCAGACCATCGTGATTGACACCCACACTAACCCTCCGGTGGGAGTACCATTTATACTAATTAGCTAACCAAACAACTAAGGCATTTAAGTATACGAAAACAGGTTTAAATGCTAAGGAAAAGATAGGAGTTCCCATAAACTCCAAACAAAAGTCTAACAACTAAACAAATGAGGAAGAAATACGCCTAGAACCTGAAAGTCAATGTACCAAAGCATCTAACAAGATCCATAAGTCTATCAAGAAGGGTTACAACCCCAAACTAATGTACTAATAACTAACTAGAAAGTCTAAGTCCGAAATGTGGACATAAACATAAAGAGAACTCATGGCAGCCCGGAAGAACTGGCTCACCCTTGAATTTGAACGAACACTGACCTTCTAAGCGAGGTCTGTCAATAGCCGCCTGAAGATGCCCTGTACTCAACAAAGAGAGAGCAAGTGCAGTATCAGTACACAACCACAGTGTACTGGTAGAATCATGTGGCTATCCCACTAAGTACAACATACATAAGTCAAGACAACAATACAATAACATGCATACACTGGACATATACAATATCATCATATTTTTACGAACAACGAGCAATTTCACGATTCGCAAATATCACAGTTACATCAAGTCATTGGTTCTCTCATGGAACCCAATCCCAAACTGTTAGCATACCGGAACGTGGTACCCGATCCAATGATTATGCCGAAACGTGGCAATCGATCCCATAATTATGCCGGAATGTGACAACCGATCCCATAATTATGTCGGAATGTGGCAACTGATCCAAGTTAGTGTGTCGGAATGCAACACCCGATCCATTCAACAAGCCATAATCACAATCACAAAGTACATTCTCATAATCATACAATCAAGTTATGATTCATGTCATTCATCATTCATCTATCCTCATTTACAATTAATGTGATCAATAATGCAACATTCGCATACATACATGTATCATAATGAAGCAGGAACAAACATACATTACACAATTATAGAATCACAGCCATCACATACCTCGAAACAAGCTTGAAACCCCTAAGAAACTTGGTTCTTCCCTTTCCGGATTCGTTCTGCTTGTTCTTAGTCTACAAACAATCATAGAATCACAACCATCACATACCTCGAAACAAGCTTGAAACCCCTAAGAAACTTGGTTCTTCCCTTTCCAGATTCGTTCCGCTTGTTCTTAGTCTACAAACAATCATAATAACACAGAAATCAATAAACAATCACTAATTACTCGAATTACTAACAATTCTATCAACCCTAGATCATACCCATGATCATCATAGCCAGATTAGGGCTTTTTCCACCATAATTCTCATATCAAAACTCTTCCCCATCGATAATTACCCATTAGATTACGTTCTACGGATCGAAAAATGGATTCGGGGAGTTAAAATCTTACCTTTAGCTTCAAGAATGGTGGAAAACTGTTAAAAAAAATCCCTGGGTTCGTTTCTTAGCTCTCAAGTTTAAAAATTGCAGAATAAAACGATTTTGAGGTTTATTTCTGACTTTAAGTCGCGTCTGCCCGCTACAGCGGCAGAAATTCCGCCTCAGCGGCTTGCACGGAACTAGTGAGAAAAATTAATAATTCCAAGACCCCATTTCACAACACACATTCAACCAACGACACACAGAAACTACCCGTTCACGCCAAAATCAATTCCGGGAGTTCTACTTGCCCGAATTCAAATTCCGTAAAGTCGTACGGGTTCCTTAACGACTTATCTATCTACTCATGTGATCAAATTCATAATTAGATCACCCAATTGCTATCAGATTTCCCTAGACTTTAATGACTCCGATTTCATCCAAATCTGGACTAGGTTGGGAAATCTCAAGATACTACGAAAAAGTTTTCTGGTCCAAAAAATTTTCCCGTTGGCTTTTTTATAACGACGGGAACAGGTCGTTACTGTTTATTATAATGAAAAACCATGCATATGTTTAATTAACCATTTTTTATTTTTATCTTCATAGATATTTGATAAAGTTTAATTACTCCCACTTGAATTATATTCTCTTGTAGTATAACGGCTCTTAAATGATTTATAAAGGTTTTTGGTTAATTGCTCAGATTCTTATACATGATGGGACATTGAGTTATAGTATTAACTGATAGAGTCAATTGGTTTTGTAGAATCTTTTATAATATATTTATTTTCAGTTTAAATATTTTTTATAAGAGACTTTTATATTTATAAAAAAGACGCGGAAACAATTTTTAAAAAGATGGGCTAAACGAAGGAGAAATGAGAGAGGAGATTACGAGATGGAAAATTGAATTCTCACAAATAAGATAAAAGTTTGGGTAGCTAACCTACTGAGCAACTAAAATTCATCTAATATATAGTATGAAATAAAATATATTACTATTATTACGGAAAAAGTCAAAAATACCTTTAAACTACGTGAAATTAATAAAAATGTCATTTATTTATAGTTCGATTCAAAAATATCCTTATTGTTACTTAATGGATCAAGAATGCATTTTTTCAAATAAATATATTATTTTATTTTCTTTGAACACATTCATTTCCTAATAATATTTATTTTAGCAAATGTTTAATCTAATTTAATTTGGAAAAAAATAAAAAACTTTTTATTTTATTATAATTATTTTTTATCACTATCTAAAAAAAAATTAATGATGAGTTTACTATGATCTTATATATATATGATTTATATTATCCGTTAAAGGGATAAATTAAGTTATTCTATTTTAATTGATAAAACGATATCAAGAAGAAAAATATTATTTCCTATATTTATATTAGTAAAGTGATTTTAAAAGAAAGAAAATAAGAATCAGGTTCATTAAAAATAATATTCTCGTTGGGAACAAAATGTGTTTAAAAGGAAAAAAATCATTTATTCAAAAAAAATAATATTTTTTTTATCCATTTAATAATCATACATTTTTAGATCAAACAATTATCAACTGAACTAAAGTATTGAAGCTTAGGATATTTTTAGACAATAATTTAATAGTAGCATTTTAACCATATATAACTACTTTTTATTTTAATTTTTTGGATTCTTTCTGCAAATTAACATGCATGTAGAGTCTATATATACATGTCTCATTGGACCTTCACCTTAAAATTCAAAGTCTCTCAACAAAAATCACCAGACCTCAAAATAACTCCTCTCTCTGATCTCTTTATATTTATTTTGTTGAAATTTGTAATGGAGAGAGTAAACAAAATGGTAACTGAAAAGCCAGTTGTCATATTCAGCAAGACTGGTTGCTGCATGAGCTACTCCATTAAGTCTTTCTTCTCTGATCTCGGCGTTAACACCGCCGTTTACGAGCTCGATGAGATGCAAAGAGCTGGCCGTGAGATTGAGGCCGTGCTTTCGAATCTCGGCTGCAATCCCACGGTGCCGGCGGTGTTCATCGGCGGCCAAATGGTCGGTGGAGAAAGTGAAGTCATGAGTCTTCATTTACAAGGGGCCTTGAAGCCTAAACTCAAAACAGCTGGTGCTTTATGGGTTTAATTATAAATTACCTAAAATAAAAATAATCAAAATGATCGTGGTCATTTTTATTTTTTTTAGAATAATACTTCTAGCTATCGTTTCTAGATCAATAAAGATTGTGATAGAATAGTGATATTCCTTCATCATCATCCTTATTAATCACTTTATCTTCAACGTGAGACTTTTGAGTAGGAAACAAAAAAAAAAGATATATACCAGAGCGTTGCTACTTTTTATAGCAAGAAAAAGGAAAAAAGAAGTAAAAATGTGCCTATAAGAATTTTACTCACATGTCTTGCTGACAAAGTGCATAACTACTGACAATATGGATCGTAATGTATAAGTGAGACTGCTCTACCTTTAACCAAAGGTTTTGGATTCGAACCTTGAATATGAAGAAAATCTTTTTGGTAGCGCCACCTCAAATAGGCCTGATGTGAGCTCTGAACAGGAAAAAAAGAAGAAGCAAAGTGCATAACAATGTAAAAAGTTGTTGTACCCATTTGTGTATTATTTGTAATTTCCGTTAAGAATTTACTTGCTGTAATTTATGTTAGCAATCTGTGTTAAAAATCAATATTGTTGATTCAACAAACTTTGCAGAAACTCAAAGTTACCAAAGTTTATCTGAACCAGTGAAGAAACAGATGAACATAAATTAATTCAAAAGAAAACTAGAATCTGTAAAACATACCAGAATCTGGAAAAAAAATCAGAACGGAAAAGATCAAGCCTACTGAATGTACAGTGTCCCCTTAAGGAAATTATTCACCTCTAGTATTCGAGGTTTGATTTGGATTATGTCCTCCCAAGTCTGCACACTTTCTCTTCTTTACCAGGAACCACAAACCCTTATTTTGTTCCATGTAAATTTCTTCCTCCAACTCTCCATTTAAGAAGGCTGTCTTTACATCCATTTGGTGGATTTTAAGATCATGCACTGCCGCTAGTGCTATTAACATCCTAATTGATGTTATCCTTGTTACTGAAGAGTATGTATCAAAGAAGTCCAGACCTTCCTTTGTCTGTATCCTTTGACTACAAGTCTAGCCTTATAGTTGTCAATAGTCCCATCGGCTTTCATTTTCTTTAAAGATCCACTTTGATCCTAAAGGTTTATTTCCTGGAGGAAGATCAGCCAATTCCCAAGTATGATTACTTAAAATTAATTCGATCTCACTATTTACTGCTTTTTTCCAATAGATTGACTCAGATGAAGACATAGCTGCTTTAAATGTTGGAGGCTCATTTTCAAGTAAGAATGCCACAAAATCTTATCCGAAAGAAATGGGTTTCCGTTGGCGATTACTACGCCTAGGATCCTCACTAGGTAGTGTATTTTCTGTTGATTCTTCTCGTGGTCGTTTAGATCTTTCACTTGTTGACTCACATTCAGTTTTATATGGATAAATGTGTTTAAAGAACTCAGCGTTATCTGACTCAATTATCGTATTAACATGAATCTCAGGATTATCAGATTTGTGAACCAAAAACCGACAGGCCTTCTGTTCACAGCATATTCAATAAATACACAATCCATTGTATTGTATCCAATTTTCACCCTTTTCGGTAAAGGAACCTCTACCTTGGCTAGACACACCACACTTTGAAATATTTCAAGTTGAGTTTCCTTCCTTTCCACAACTCATATGGAATTGATTGCGTTTTGCTGCGGGGTACCCTATTGAGTATCTTATTAGCCGTAAGAATGGCTTCCCCCAAAGGTTTCGCGGTGAACCAGAGCTGATTATCAAGGCATTCATCATTTCCTTTAATGTCCTGTTCTTCCGTTCCGCCAAACCATTTAACTGTGGTGTATAGGGTGCAGTAGTACTTTGATGAATAATACCATATTCCAAACATATATCTACAAAAGGAGATTCGTATTCTCCACCCCTATCACTCCGAATCATTTTTATCTTTAGATTCAATTGATTCTCCACTTCATTTTTGTATTGCTTAAATGCATCAATTGCTTCATCCTTACTGTTAAGCAAATATACATAACAAAATCGAGAGCAATCGTCAATAAAAGTTATAAAATATTTTTTTCCACCACGAGATGGTGTCGACTTCATATCTCATATATCTATGTGAATTAAGTCTAAAGGTTTTGAATTTCTTTCAATAGACTTATTAGGATGTTTAACAAACTTACTTTCCACATAATTTCGCATTTCGATTTATCGTATTTGAAATCAGGCAATACTTCTAAAGTAACCAATTTTCGCAAGGCTTTGTAATTTACATGTCATAAGCAGGCATACCATAAATCATTTGACTCCAATAAGTAAACAGAAGCAGAATTCTTATTAATACTGTCAACAACCATTACATTCACTTTGAAGAGACCCTCAGTGAGGTAGCCCTTTCCTGAGAACATCGCATTCTTACTTATTACAACTTTGTCACTAACTAGGACACACTTAAACTCATTCTTAACGAGCAGTGCAACAAAAAACTAAATTCTTCCTAATAGTAGAAATATGCAGAACGTTGTTCAAAGTCAACACCTTGCCGGATGCCATTTTCAGCATTACTTTCCCAGTTTCTGCAATCCTCGTTGTTGTTGTGTTCCCCATGAACAAATCGTCCTTGAACTCAGCAGGAGTGTACGTTGCAAAGGCTTCTTTCGCAGAGCAATATGTCGAGTGACACCTTAGTCAAGAAACCACTCCTTGGGATTTCCAACTAAGTTGCACTCTGAGATCATTGCAAAGAGGTTATCTACATCTTCCATCTCTTGCACGATGTTTGCTTGACTTTTGCCTTTGTCTTTGTTTTTGTCCTTTCTTAGAGCACGACAGTCAGAAGACTTGAGACCAGCCTTACCATAGTTGTAACAGTTGCCCTTGAATTTCTTCTTGGCCTGTTCTGACTTCTGTCCGTTGGACTTCTTTCTCTTCTTGCCTTTGGCATGAGCTTCTTCAACAATATTAACTCCAATTATTGTCGAACTCTTACGAGACTTCTTTTCAGCGGTCTTGTTATCTTCCTCAATCTTGAGCCGAATCACAAGATCTTCAAGCTTCATTTCCTTACGTTTGTGCTTTAGATAATTTTTGAAATCATTCCACGAAGGAGGCAACTTCTTGATCATTGCAGCCACTTGAAAAGCTTCATTTACTACCATATCCTCAGCAATCAGATCATGGAAAATAAGTTGAAGTTCCTGCACTTGTGATCCAACAGTTTTACTATCTGACATTTTATAGTCTAAAAACTTTGCGACCACAAATTTTTTCAAGCATGCATCTTCTCTCTTATATTTCTTCTCAAGTGCATTCCACAATTCTTTTGAAGTTGTCATTGCACTATAGACATTGTATAAGTCATCCTCTAAAGCACTCAGAATATAGTCCTTTCATAAGAAGTCTGCATGTGTCCATGCTTCAATAATCATGAACCTTTCTCTGTCTGACATATCAGCAGCAGACACTGGAGTTTCTTCATTGGTAAATTTCTGCAGACCAAGAGTGGTAAGCCAGAAAAAATACCCGTTGCTGCCATCCTTTGAAAATTCGCACCAGAGAATTTTCTCGATTTCTCTGCTGGTGGTACAGCAGTTCGGGTTGGTGCAGCAACAGCCACTGTAACATTGTTGTTTTCCATTTCTGATAAACAAAAATCGATACAGACTTAGTAATGTCACACCCCGAAATGCTAACCAAGAGTCGTTTGTCGATACACCATTGCTTAATCACTACTGTATGTTTTACTCTCATACAATACCTTAAATTATGATCACAATTTATGTTAAGCAAGTTTGCAAATATCACAACATTTCAAGTTCCCAAAATGAGAGTAAAACATACAATAGTGATTAAGCAATGGTGTATCGACAAGCGACTCTTGGTTAGCATTTCGGGGTGTTACAAGTAAGCAATAACTTTAAATTGCAAATAGAATTGGAGTATAAAATCACAAAGGTTTTTGTCTCCAACAGAAACACAGATTAACAAATAAAATAATTTTCTTAAGATTGTTAGCAATCTGGGTTAAAAATCAATATTGTTGATTCAACAAACTTTGTAGAAACACGAAGTTACCAAAGTTTATCCGAACCAGTGAAGAAACAGATGAACAGAAATTAATTCAAAAGAAAACTAAAATCTGTAAAACATACCAGAATCTGAAGAAAAAAAAAAACAGAACGAAAAAGATCAAGCCCACTGAATGCACAGTGTCCCCTTAAGGAAATTATTCCCCTCTAGTATCCGAGGTTTGATTTTGATTATGTCCTCGCAGGATAGAATGATCTCAATCACCAGTGTATTGATACCCAACACGCTGGTGTCAGCGAACCACTCAACAACAGTAAAGTACACCAAGAAATTTGTGCAGTAGAAGAAGATGAAATTAGAAAATTTTGTAAGTAAAAAATCTGAAGAATAACATGTATTTATAGGCAAGAGGAACTAGTTCTGAAAGGTTGCAACCTTTCAGAATCCACACGACCATTTCAGAAAGTTTGCAACCTTTCAAACGGTCATGGTTGTTCCTGAAAGTTGCAACCTTTCAGAACAGTCATCTCCAACGGCGGGAAATTTAAATAAAACGGGAAAGTAAAGGATCCGAGTCAGGTCGAAACGTTTCGGTTAATTAACTAATTAATTGAAAAGTTTTGGCCATTTAATTTTATTTAATTAATGAAATAAATAATTAAAACAAACTTTGTCCAAAAATTAATCTCTTGATTATTTTCCGAAGCCGAGCGAGCTACGACGACGGCGCGAGGGGGCCCCTTTTTCCAATCATTTTAACAATTAATAGAAGTGTTTCTATATTTAAACTCTTCTAATTTTCCTTCCACCACCGATGAGAGACAAATGCCTTTTTACTAAAGCATAGTAGGACTTTTCAAGTTCCCAACTTTCCAAGTTTCTCTCTTTTCATCTTCCCTCCATTTTCCATTAATTCTTGCTATATATACCCAACAATATATTGAACACTCCTCCCTCTTTGCTGTCAATTATATTTGACAAAAGAATACTACATATTATTTAATCTTGACAATTAAATCGATTTTCTTGTCATATATAGTTAATAAATCAGTGTACAACAAAAATTGAAATTTTGTAGTTAAATTTCGAGGACTTTAGCTATATCCATATTAATTCCATACTACATACATAGGTATTTTACCACACTATCCCTATTAAATGATGTTTAATATTAGGTTTTAGAAAAATATTTGGAGGATAGTATTTAATGCTAAGGGTAAAACATGGAAAAAATTATCATCTTTTCTTGATATGTCAATAAAAATTTGTTTTAGAAATAAGTGACAAATAAACTAAAGATTGTACTAAATAGCTTTTGGTTGATATTAGGGAAACTTACACGTAAATATCTTATATTAAGAAAATATTTACCATTTATAGCAATATTATTTCTTTTCACTTTGACACTTATAATACATTTATAATACAGTTTTATTACATATTACAAATAACAATTTATAAAACACATACTCTAATACAAGTTTTATTGATAGATAATATATTAATCACATATTTTGATACACTTATAATACATTGTGTCAATGCACTTACCAAATAAGCATGATATGTTTTAAAACATTATAATACATCTATATTGCATACGTAATTTACTTTTAATGCATAATGCAGATTTTTTATAGTATTACTATGTATTGCTATAAATGGTAATAAATAAAAAATATCGCTGAAAACAATAATTATTTATTAAAAAGTATTTGACCAAACAATTTCCTTTGCGATGGGGAGCACTTCTCTCGAATAAGCCTTACAGAATACGAATTCAAATTAATCGAGTTTTAATATGAATACTGAACATAAGATCAGAACTATATATATATAAGATTTATGCAATGCTTACCTCGTCTATCCAAAAGGAAGTAGAAAAGCTCAAACTTTTCGATTCATGTGATACTTTTTTATTATTTTAATAAACTGAAAAATAATGTATTTTAATTTTACTAGTAATTTAATTTATAATTTTTCTCTTAATAAATAATTTATAACATACATACTATATTTTATGATTTATTTAAATATAAGTTTTAATATTTTTAGTTTTTACCCAATCAAATAAAATTATATAGGAAAATAAAAAAGTTGGGGCCGGTGCAAATAAAAGCTGGATTAAACAGTTGACCCGACTTGAAATTGCGTCTCCGAGACTCTCCCCTATGGACTCTAGATTTAAGGTAATTACCACTGCCGTTGCCCGGAAATCATGTCCGATATGCCTCTGCCGGCTGCACCATCGGAGCGCGGCGGTTGTTATCCCATGTATGCACGCCTATTGCATCGTTTGCATCCGCAGATGGAGCGATGTGAAGAGAAAATGCCCTCTCTGCAACGCCGACTTTGATTCATGGTTCTCCAGAATCAGCTTCTCGTCCCGGACCTTCCATAAAGAGCAATTATCAGCTCGTAACGAGACTAAGAAGTTACACTCAGGTTTTGTCCCCTCTAGGCTGAGAGACCGATTGGCGGACCGAAGGTTAGTTTTTTTTGTACTTAAATTATCTATCGGTTTTAGCTCATAAACAAAATCATACTACTAACTTTTAGTGTTGAAGTACAATTGATTTGAAAGTTCCTAAGTTGCTCCGAATTATCCTCAGTGAGTTTGTGATTTTTATGTTGGACAGAGCGATTACGAGAAGGAGAGAAGAGTTGAGTACTTTTGGCTCCAGAACGAGGCCGTTCCCAAAGCGGCGATCCTTTGATCGCAATGGAGCTTTAAATCCAGATGATATTACTAGGAGAATCATTCTCTGGCGTTCCAGGTACAAATGCCTACTAATTATTTGTAATTTCTCCTTAATCGCCGCGGTTTTATGCTATTCCATTTATATATCTATATGTGTCTGAATTTGGTATCGAAAATCCTAATAGATGATATTTGTTTGACCTGGAATTGTATACTTTGTTGCAGCATTTATGAAGAGAGATTGCAGGCTGTTCCTTTTTCATCTAAAAATTGCCTTATACAGGTAATGCTTAGTCCAATGGATTTATCCAATTCTCTAAATAAGGCTATTGTTATGTCTACTACCTTGATAATTAGAACCAGAGGGCTAGAACTTGTCCGTCTTAAATAATTCTGTTTGAGATGACTAAATTTGGTTCTAATCCTTACTGTGTTTTAATTTATAGCACATGGATAATAGGAGTACCAAAGAGAAGATGTTACAGAGAATAGAACCATGGATAAGAAGGGAGCTGCAGGCTATACTGGGGGATCCAGATCCATCCATTATTGTCCATGTTGCTACCTCTCTTTTTATCACTGAAAATACACATTCAATACAGCGGTGCGCCAGAAATGATTTTCTTGCTCCATTGCGGCCCTTCTTGCATGAACATGCAGAAATTTTTTGGCATGAACTAAGGTATCTCTCATTCTATTTCATCGAGTCTTTACTTTCACACACGAAGGTATAATTGACTTATAACTTTATTACATCCAGCAGAGGCGGATTAATTTCAGATTTTTTTTATAATGGTGATGTGGGACCTAGCTTGAGCACAATCCGACTATTACACTGGATACTGGCTACCCACAACTCGCACATGTACATACTCATCAATGTTTAGGCACATGCGAAGTGATCAGCATTTTCTGTATTTGCTGAGATTTGAATCCTGGTCTCCAGGATTTGCATCCACCTCATTAATCATTGCCATACCCTTTTCGGGGTAAACCCACATTAGACTTTGAATTGTTGTTTTTCTTTGTGCGCTAGATTTATAGCTGTGAGAACCAATTCTGTCAACTGTCTTAGCAAATGTTTATGAACATTGAAGACAGTGGATTATGTCTGTGAATTTCCACCTTTGAATACTGAGATGGCATCCATGAACTAATTTGTATAGTTCACTATTGCCACCACAGGCAGGAGGCTTAGGATATAATATAATTGGCTAATAGAAAGTTTTGTCTGACCTGCTGGCATTAAGCTCGTCACATTGAATTCATCTCCTAGACAGAAAGGGAGATAATTCATCAAGGTTTATCTGTCACTTTTTTTCACTAGAACTTTTATGGGCAAGTAAGCGCTCTAAATAAGTCAGTCCAGGTTAGATACCGGCAGTGCCATATTTACCAACGATCTATTTAGAATTAGAAACCGCTATCCTGGTTTGAACTAACTGCCGGAGATGCAATTGTAACAGTAGTAGAACAGGAAAAGTGAAATAGATATTCTTTTGAAATGATGTCCGCTATTTTCTAAGTTGCTCTTTTTGTAGCTATTTTCAACTAATGTTCTTGTTCCTGTTGTTTTATTTTGCCTTTTGGTTTCATTCTTCTTTTTTAAGTAATATTTTGTTGTTTTATTTTGTTTTTCCACCTTTTGGTTTCATTCTTTTTTTAAAAATAAAATAAAATTTGTATGTATAAAATTTTAGTCTCTTTCTGCCCCTCGTTCTCTCTCTTTAAAGCATTGCTGTTCATACCACATTCTTTTTTTTTTTGGTAAAGCATACCACATTCTTTGACTTAAAATAATGTTCATTGTAGGTGCTTTGCTGAGAGTCCTTTGTCTATGCAGACATATGATACTGTGGTGGAGTACTACTCCTTGGACTAATTCACCAGTACCAATCATCAATGCGTTGGCTACACTCCTGGGGTAACAATGGATTGAGAGGGGTAAGATAGGGTTGTGATCCAGCGTAGTCATCTGATCATGGCTATAAGGATGTTGGAATCTGAATTCTTGTGGCAAATGGAAGAGCAAGCCGCCAGTTTTTCTTCCTCAATAGCCAGTTAAGATTGGTTGAAGAGCCCACTATGCACTGCTCCTTACGGATGAAGTCTTGTTGCCTTAGCTTTGTCTAGGTAGGGATAAGCATATTTGTTGTGCAATATTCATTGACCTTTTTTCTGAAGTCCAAGACACAGGAGAAGATGATTTCTTGTGATTAGCAACCCATTTATAGGAGAAGCTGGAGAGATCTAGAATGCTTAAATTATATTTCTGCAGTGGTTAATCAAAGCGTGACAGGAGTTCCTGAGGAGTTAGCATTTGGTAGACGATGCGCTAGCGACCCGTTTGAGCTCATTAAGACGCTGTTTGATTACCTGGGAAGAGGGGCTTTGGTGATATTTTGATCCTGGTCCCTATTGAGTGGACCTACCTTAGTGTCCTCTTCTTTGATAAATTGCCACAGCGCTATTGCACATTCTGCATGTCTCTGGTCCACTCAGTTTGAAAAGTATGGTTCGACATTGGTGGACCTAGTTTTTCCAGTTATATCCTCCATCAAGTACGCATTTTGAAGAAGAAGAACCTTGTGTTGATAGTTTGCGAAGTGGATGATAAAAGGTTGCCTTTGAAATAGAAGTTGTACAGGGCTGCGAATCTCTTGTGTGCAGATCGTTGGAAAGGTGTTAATTGCACAGTGGAAAGCCTCATGTATAAAAATTAGATACAAATGTTTCGATATTAAATCATGTCGTAAAGATATGCGCGACTCTGGAAAAATTTAAGATCCAACATAGGACCAAAAGATTATGCAATGCATAAAGAGAGAGAATTGCAATCCCAAATATGAACAAAAATTATGTATGCTTGTCAATCACCAGACGTAACGTTTTCCATTGATGTATCTGTTTAAATATATATTATTTTTAGCTTTTATGGGGCCTCTTGTTTTTCTTATTCGCATGCAGTAACTTCAGAATTTCGTACTTGATGTGTAATCTTGTTGCTGCAAAAATTGATATGACCTTTTTTATATAAATAATTCATCAGTTTGGTTTCTCAATATTAAATTTCTCTCAAGTTAAGTAGACCACAATATCGTAAATTAAAGCTGATATCATAAACGACTACACCCAAGGGTCCTCTATACTTTAAACTCGTCGCATCGGGTTTACTTAGTACGGATTACCTCTCTTGTGCAGTTTGCAAGATATTGCATAGGAAAGATTTTATCCGTGCACACCAAAGGGTGTCTAATGGACTTATTTAAGTTCTTTTGAGTAAGATAAAAAAAATACTTTTGAATACTTTATTTTAAAACCAAAAAATATCAAAAATAAGTAAAAAATTATAAGCTGGTTCAAAAGCTCTGTTTTTTTAAGTTTGTAGAGAATAAAAGGAATATGGGGTGGGGGTTTAATTGCAATCGTGACAGTTCCTATTGGAAACCCGGCATAAACCCTCTACGGCCGCTGGCGCTCCTGGATCTGCACCAAAACGGTATGGTCGTTTCTCATATTTTTGTCGATTTTTATTGCTCAGAACTACTAAATTATAAGCAGAGATTTATGGATTCCTTTCATATAGCTGCAATTACATAGTTTTGCTGATGCAGTTTCTATGGTGGAGTGAGTCGCCAGGCGAATAGAAGTATTTTAATTTGAGGGGGAGATAGTTTGATCGAGATTATTAAGCCTTAATTAGAGAATGATCCTTTATTGCACTTCTATTCAGATTCGGTAATACTGCTAATTCTCTAGGGCGATTTAGTTATCAGATTTTTTACCGTGTTATTATTATTATCTGTAAAAGTTGGAAATGGACTATTTCCAAGTAGAATTTCCTTAGTAAATGTAATTTAGCTTGTTTATAAAAACAACCACATTCTGAATGCTAAACAAGCCAAAGCAGTTTCTCTTTTCTTTGCTCTTAAAATTTGTCTTGTCAGGTTAGGTTAATTTGGTTGGACTGATTTTTTTAGAAATAAGTTCCTAGAGGAAGACTAGGGATTGAAGGGAGCCTTGGTGTAATTGGTAAAGTTAATTCCATGGTTTTGAGGTGTGTAAACTACCTCTTGCAGAAATGCAGGGTAATAGACCCTTATGGTCTAACTCTTTCCTGGACCAGTACATAACAGGAACTTAGTGCACCGGGCTGCCCTTTTATTTTTTGAGGAGGACTTTAGGATTGTGAGTTAGAAATTCTAATGCCTATGATTTTGTTGGACTTCCAAGGAAGCATATGGAGCAAGCTCTTGTAGTTAATTTGTTCCAAAGGATGATTGAACTCTTTCATTTAGTATATATATATATATATATGATATTAACATTTTTTTTTCAGGAATTAGTCTAGGATATATCTTTCAGATTGTTTTCATTTTATTTTCTCTGTTTTAAGTTTTGGCCACATCTGTTATCGTACAATATCCATGGATTTATGGATTTGAGCCCTCTACTCAGCTTTCGACACCACTTTTTGTAGAACAGATTAGTGTTTACTTGTAATGATGCGATTCTTTCACGGCTACCCCTTCCAAGAGAGGAAGATCTTAGATTTTTTTTCATTTGGTTTTGCTGTTTATTTTCCCCCTTCACCCAAATAATGTGAGGAAGAGAAGAAAAAGATTAACTTTGTCTTAACAGGTGAGGTATGTGTACACGCAAGTGTACGTGGTCGCTCAAGTAATATAAATTCTTAAAGAAACGAGTTATCGTTCCCAAGGGACTTATGATTAACTTATATCCAACACTTAACTCCACAAATAAAATAGAAGTAACCGTTTCAGAGATGGTGCTGATTGTTAACTACTACTAATTATGAACTAAATAAACGTAACTAAATGTGAACGACTTTAAGATGATGTTTCAAGCAAGTAAAAGACAATTCCAGGGCTGCAACATGTAATGAATCTCATGTATCATTTTATTGGCTTAGAACTAATTTTAGTCGTCAAGCTACTGATTTACAGGGTTAATTGTATAAGTCGGGTTCACACCTCTAGTCGCCTACCCCAGTTAGCTATCTAACTACATCGTTAAGCGGGGATAAATAGACTAACTGGCGAGCATTTATATTTCATCCTATTTCGTAACCAAGCTAGTTGTTCGCCCGGGCGTCACTCTTGAACACAAATCACCTCAACTTAATGGGTCGATCAAGCTCTCTATATTCTCTGGTCTATCTAACCTCTCCTCTCCCGATTCAAGTTTAGACAATATATTTATCTTATGGTGATCAATCATAAAATACTAAAACAAGAATATAGAAGTAACTTATAATGACAACCAAGAATTAATTTAACAAGCCTTTAATAATCAACAATTCATTCGTAGCTACAGCCCCAGAACAAGGGCGTTTAGCCACTTATACTATTAGAAAACCACAAAATACAATTGTTCATATGATTTCCGGAAAATAGAAGAGTTAAAAGATCAAAACCTAATACAAACGTGAATACTTGCTCTTGCACACCCAATAAAAGTCAAACCCTAACAATGGAGCTGTAAGGGTCTATTTATAATAGTAGGAAAATTAGAGCCAAAGTCTATTACAATTAGGAATCCTTTTTTAACATTGTTAAGCTGGAAAAATCGGGATCCTGCTGGTGTGTTGCGCCTATCATTGCGCCCAAACTTCACCTCTGAGGTTTCCACCCTGGCGCGTCGCGCCTCTCAGAGCGCCTGAGAAAGGCCCCAGAATGTTGTGCCTTGGCGCGTCGCGCCGCCTCTCTGAATGTTGGCGCCTCGCGCCTTGCAGTGCGCCTGGCCCTGGGGCCTTCAGCCTTAGCTTCTTTTCAGCATATTCTTGCATCCTTTCTTTCAATTTGACTCCAATCTCCTTGAGAGTTCCTGAAACCTCTAATCACATGTTTTAGTGCATAATATCGCAAGTATAACGAAATCAAGCTAATAGACTCAAGATCATTCGTGACTTCAATCAATTCATTGGCAAATATTGACAACTTAGGCATATAAATACGCCTAAGATCAAGGTCTTTTGATATCAATGAAGCATATGTTGAAACATTGTTAAAAAAGGTTGCTCCTGCTGACCTGCTCTAGATAGGTGGTTATTTTATTTGCCTCTACATGTCATAGTATAAATCATGTTTGCTATGTTTCTTCTCCAGGAAAAAGACATCATTAAATGTGTTTTAAGTTTTTTTCTTTGATGTGTTAGAGAGCACTATGTAGTATGTACCTCGTATATAGGGTGACAGCCATGACACTAGATTTCCTTCAATGTTTGTTGTACTTGATAATCTTATTGCTCCGAGTAACTGTTTGTGTTTGCTGCAGCCAAGTAACACAAGTCGCAGGGGTTGGTTCTCCATCGAGATTATTTTTCAAGTTTTGAGTTACAGGACCAACAATGGTGACTCAGGAGAACAGTGAAGTGATTCAACCACCAACTTCAGTAGACAAGCAATTAGAAAGTTACTCATACACTAATTGGGCAGGGAAGATACAAGAACAGTACCAGAAAGTCAAAGAGAATGCAGAAACCTACCCCTATGTTTGGGGTTCGTATACTGTTGTATACGGGGGATTTGGGCTCTGGTTTGCCTATAGATGGCGAAGGCTCCGCAAAACAGAAGACCGAGTCAGAGTCCTTCAAGACAGACTTCGCAAACTTGTGCAAGCTGAAGAGTCGACAAGTTCATCTATAACCAAAGCACCCTCATCTTGTGATAAATCAACTAGATAGTTTGTGTTTCTCTTTTCATTCAAGTTGTGTTTTTATACATTTTGCTGAAAAAATGAGTTACCAATGACTGCACTTGGTCACAAAAATTATCCGGTTTAATAGAGAAAAACCCCCTTGGTAAACAACATAATATACTGCAGTTTGCATTTGTTTGACACATTCTTTGTGATTATCCCCTTGTGTACAACATAATAGAGTATACTGTTTTTGGTAAAACTAAACTATCTTTTGCACCAAATAATTTTACTGTCGTATATTCTTTCAAGAATTTATCTGCAGTCTGATGTGGACGTTTTTAAATGATAGTTTGGTATCTTTTACATATCTTTAGTTTTAACTACAAGATTCAAAAGTCTTTCACTTTCCTAAATTTCGTTTAAGTTAAAATGAGACAAACAAATTGAAACGGAAAAAATACTATGATTTTGTTTGAAAGAACAATAAAATATAACTACTGTTTGATCAAGTTTCTCTTTGAACTTGGCAATTTAATAGCTTACACCGTTAGAGGTTGACATGGCAAAAAGCATGGATATACACTCTTTTAAATTGCCACATAATAATGTGCAATAAATTTTTTGTTCCAAATTGTGTATTTCTTCTTACTTCTTCTCTTATCTTAACTAATATATACACCATATTTTACCTCAATATATTTTTTAGCTGCAATGGTTATTTGTTTAAACTGTGTATTTCTTCTTTTCCGGTCCAAAACTATAAAACAAACTTGACTAGAATTTCATTATTTTCAGCCACATAAATGTTAGCCAAGACTTATCACAGAGAAAGCATTTTCGGTTCAGTCCAAAGGTATCTTTTCTTATTTCATTTTTAGATGCAATGATGATTTATTTCATCTGGTGCAATTATCAAACTAGATTCAAAAAGGAAAATTTGATGAAACTCCGTCGTGTGTATCCAAATAAAAAAAATCAGCTTACATTTTTTTTTTACAAATTTGTCCCAAAAAAATAATTTTAAAATAGTTCAACTATATGTTGGCCAAATGACTTTGTACTAACATGGGTAAGAAAGTAACATTCTCATGTATACGTGAAAAAGAGATACGCTCAAATATACATCATAGAATAATATTGATCATGTTTCAATCTTGCATCAAAGATTGATAAAACCAAACACTAAATCATACTAAAGTAACAATAACCAATAGTCTATGTACAATATGCGCCTAATTGAGCACTTTTTACTATATTAACTACATATCATTGAATGTGCTAGTACATTTTTTCTCTACTTTGACATAGACCAATAGTAGTTAACTTTATTCTTCAACCAAAATATTCAGCGCGGACCCATGTCGCAACCTAAATGACCTGCAGGTTATATCTTGTTGTTCTGCTCACGTAGTCAACCTATAAGATCAACAAATTCTCTGCATAAATAATCAGTATTTGTACATTAGAAAGAACAAAGATCTTTTGCCTAGCAACATGCAAGTATGAACTTATTTAACTTTAAGACATGCAAATATTCCTGAGAAATTAAATCTTACAACACCTTTTATTACTAGTATTTCAGAGAATGAACATTGGTCAAACAACATTTTGAAGATAGAAGGGAAGCTATTTTTATAGAAATACACTTTACTTATGCAGCAAAAACATACAAGTCGTGGTCCCAAAAAAAAAAAAACAATCTATGAAGGATGACATTCAGATTTAGTACCTGAGTATGAGCCAACACACAAATGACACAAGCATAAAAACGCACTCTGGTTATCTCTTTTACCTTCATCAGTCTCATATTTGTTGGAGTATTTCGTAAATGCTGCCTTCTTGCACGTGCTCCAGTTCTTGTAGCACCTCTTCACTGAGATGATGAGCCCAAAGTGTTTGAATGAAGGCAGGTTTCATCCTGACTTTCATCAGGATCAGGTACGGGGTCTGGATCGGTCGATATGATGAACGGGAAAATCCCTTCGTTCTACAAATGTCTTCAACAGTTTTCTTTTCCCTATATCTAGTGTGGGGCAGGGATAAAAATGAGAAAGAAGCACATTAATTTATCGATTTTCACATGTTCTTCATTATATTTATTTTTTATTTCTTACATGTAAGGTGTGTATAATCCTTAAGTTGTACCCTGTTCCTCAATGAAAGAAATGATAAATCTTAAAATTCTTGTTCATACCAGAATGTGAATTGATGACCAAGAAGAGAAAAAGGAACAGCAAAAACTTTACAAGTACCTCATGTCTCTAAAGAATAGGGAGAGTTGGTTCCTGACATTCTCTGTACATGGAATGTCATATTTTGCCATACTTGTACACTGTAATAAATCTCCAATACGAAAATATAATAAATCTCCAGAAATCAGTGCAAAAAGAAGGAAAAAGGGGAAAAAAACGTACCAGACTTGACGAACCATGTTGTGCAGACTCTCCAAAATAGTTGTTGTGCGCATGTCGGATCTTCTAAAAGTGCAATACTTGATACAGTGACTTAAAAATACCTGTTCACACTCCTCTCTGCCAGAAATAATAAAAATTGTAAAGTAATAGTACAAGTATTTAAGCAATGTCACTAAATAACAAAGTCAGATCGAAAAATAAAATGGTGACAGTAAAACGATACCTTCAAGGATGTCCAATTAAAATCATACAAGGACTCCGTCTGCTGAAATAAATAGATTTACTTCATCAGTTCTGCAAATATTCTTGGTCTCACCGAGCAGAAAGATGATACAAACTCCAATTGAAATACATGCCTGAAAGTAAGCTAGCTCAAATGTCAGGCATATTTTATTTTTATTCTTTCATTCCTGTTGACTTATTAATAATATCCATTAGCCTGGTCCTAATGCATTCATTATTATAAAATAAAATGTCTTAAAGTAAATGTAAATCAAAAGTACCAAAAAAATCTCACATCAATTAATTCATGAAAAAGAGGAAGTAATAGCATAATACTGTCTGTTACAGAATTTGACACCAAAAACTCACAAGTTAACGTGCATCTTGCCAAAAGATCCAAATCTGCACACTCCATTTTGTGAGTAGTGGTTGCACGGTGCACCCTAACAACAATTGAGAGAACCCAAAAAGATGATCTTTCAGTCTGAGCACAGATATTATTAAAGCACAAAATTCACTATGTTCAAATATTAATATGCTGATGATTGAATACAAGATGCATCTTGCCAAAAGATCAATGGACAACTAGGAATCTCTTCTCACAATTAGAACAAGAACACAACATCAACTTGGCAATGCAGATATCAATGAATGCATAAATAACGTAATAAGGATGACAGTGTGGCATCATTAAGTTGGGAAATATGTTATTTACTCATTGAAGGGTCCAAATATAGTCCATAATCCAAGTTGACCTATGCACCAGGTTCAAAACTCAACGGAAACAAAAAAACACTAGGTGATTCTTCCCATCTTTCCTAGCCTTGGTGGACAGAGTTACCTGTGGGTGGTGGCAGGTATCCCGTGGAATAACACTAGGTGATTATTCCCATCTGTCCTAGCCTTGGTGGATAGAGTTACCTGGTACAGGTTGCTGGTGAGAGGTGGCGGATATCCGTGAAATTAGTTGAGGTGCATGAAAGTTGGCCGGGACACCATGGTCATAAAGAACAAAAATAAAATCTAAGTTAACATATTGAACAAACTAGACAAATTTTGACTCTCTTAACACAATAAACAAAAAAGAAGCAACTAATTAAAAACTGGAACTTCAGATAACATCACATGTTTGCATGACCCCAGTTGAAGTGAAAAAGTGTCACAAATCAGAACAATGCCTGGGAGTAGGGACCAAATCCAGCAGATCATCTTGCATTTTATTCTAGCTTTATGAGAAATGGCGAAGTTTCAACAATTTTTTCTGCACTTGAACCAGTAATTAGAAACAAGAATCCTGAGACAACCACAATGCAGAGGCCATTTAAAGCACTTCCCAGGTTTTCTGGTATTTTTAGGCATTCAAGAGACGCACAAATTCTCACTGGAAAATTATTGCTCCCTCTGTCCCATTTATGTGAATGTGTTTGGTTGAACATGGAGTTTAAGAAAGAAAACAAAGAAAACAGACTTTAAAACTTGTGCTCTAAAACATGTCATAGACATTCTTGTGGCTATTAAAAATCATGTCATTAAAGGGTAAAATGTAAGGCTTAAAGTTAAATAGTTAATAACTTTAGAAAGATATCATTATATTAAGGATAAACTGAAAAGGGAAGTGTTTCTCCCAAGTACAAGAATCAGCCAAGAAATATAATATCCAAACTATATCATCAGTTTGGCAAGAATAGGAACATTTTATTACATTCATTGACAAGGTAGCCACTCAAGGATGAAGAATAAGATGAACAAGTATTTATTACTGGCAAAAAAGACTCTGTAAGGCATTGTTATGGGAACAAAAATGTTAAAATAAGAATGTTGAGATGGATGTACACAAATACAAGATTAGACAATATCGTAATGATCACCTCCTATAAAAGGTGATAACAATACACATAGAGAATAAGACAAGAGGTCACTTGAGATAATTTGGTTAGATCATATGCAGACCTACAAATGGATGTACGGATCAGAACGATCACCTCCGACGGAAGCTGCAAGCAACACACGTAGAGGATAATTTGAAATGTTGCTCAATATGATTTGATTAGATCCTATGTATACCTACAAATGCATCCATATATAGTGTGAAATCATGATGATTGGAAGTGTTACAAGTGTATGAGTCGTTAGACCTTTTTTTACAAGGTAATATATATATAAAAAAAAGGGGGCGATCTAGACCTAGAATCTCAAGGAAGGAAGTACCTACAATCTTTTGAATCTATCATTTCGCAATAACGTAGAACACAAAGATTGACGCACATTATTAAAGATGTGTGTATTAATGGAATATGTAGAGAACCACTAGTTATTAAAGAACCTAAAAGATTGAATATTGGAATGAAATAGGTCCAAGTAAAGTGAAATGGCCAGTGAGGATTCACATTAGCTGAATTTAACTAGTTTGTGATCGACACATGGTCTTTTATTGTCGTTTTAAAGCTACAATTCCTCATAAGTAAAGTCATGATAGATTTAAGCTTTCACTAAATTTAGAATTGCCCTTAGTTTGGATGGGAGAACACAACATTAATTTTAAAATTACAATGAAACAAATTAGCATTACTTTGGAAACATGAACCAAGAAAGGTGTTATATAACTTATATTACTTCTTTATAAGAGAGAAGATCCAACTTTTGTAGTCTTCACAGGAAATTTTCTTGTCTATTTTACCCCTAATTGAAGCTCTAGTAACCTTGCAAGTTCTCACCCATTTTGGTAAATTTGAATAAGTATATGGGTTTCTTAAATGCTACAAGGAGCTAAGTTGCTTGGACTCGAGTGAGGGTGTCCGATACGGGTGCTTATCTAGAGGTCGAATTTTTCCTGATAACTTTAAAATTCGGAAATACAAATCTAGGTACGGATACAGGTGCAGAGATTCAGCTAAAAATAATTCAAATATCTAAAAGTAGAGTTATAAAACCTAAATTTGAGATATTATGTGGAAAACTTGAGGAGGAAATGTTGATCAAGAGGAGAACTCTAAAAAGAGATAAAAAGGAAAAAGAGTGACATAGAAATTTTTATATACAAGGTATTTCATTTTCTTCAATTTTACTTTAGCTTTTGTTTTGGTTACAAAATTCATTGAATGTAACTGAAATTTCTCCGTTGATTTTGGTCAAAGGACCCAAAATCAGTTGACCAGATCAAGTATGGATCCCACATCCATGTCGAGTCGATACCAACAGTGACGAGTCCGAGCAACTTAGACAAGGAGTGATGATGTCATGGAAAAGATGATAATGGCATCATAAAAGATCTATTTATTCAACCAAATTTAAAATTGATCCAAAAGTTTGTTGTCTTTCTTTTATATGGGAATGGTTATTAAGCTTAATTTCAAATCATCTCTTTTTCCTAAGAATTTTCTATAGACAAGTAAAAAAGTTATGGTGACATTCCGTTTCTACCTTAGTACATGTTTAATCATTAAATTATTTTTTTAATATATAGCTAAAAATATTTTAAAAAATAAATATAAACTATAATTTAACTCTCCAAATAGTATATGTTAGAATAGGATTAGGTATATATAATCCTACTTAGAATAGGAATAGTAATAGAAATAGGAATAGTATTTACTTTTCTACTTGGTAAAGGATTGTATTATAGTGTCTATAAATAGGGTCTCTAAGTAATAATGTACGTACACAATTCAATAATATTCTTTTCCTATATTTCTCACATGGTATCAAGAGTCTTTACGATCTTGGTAGAGAATCAAAGAGTTTCCGCTGCCAGCGGGCGGTTATTACCCATATGTGTCGCCCGTCTGACCAATGATTATGTTAGCAAAAGTTGGGTCACCGTGTATCTTTCAAGTGACTATTTTTTCATATCTAATTTGTGTAGCGTTGTGCCATCATTGTGACTACTTGCTTATATTTAATTTGTATAGCACCATGCTATCTTTTCAGTGACTACTTTTTCATATTTAATTTGTGTAGCACCGTGCCATCATTCCAGTGACTAGTTTCTCATATCTAATTTTTGTAGCACCGTGCCATCTTTCAGGTGGTTACTTTTTCATATCTAATTTGCGTAGCACCGTGCCATCTTTTCGATAACTACTTTTTCATATTTAATTTGTGTAGCATTGTGCCATTTTTTTGGTGACTACTTTTTTTCATATTTGATTTGCATAGCACCGTGCATCTCTCCAGACTACTTATCATATTCTATTTGCGTAGTACCGTGGATTTTTCCAAACTACTTTCTCATGTCTGAGTTGCATAGCACCATGTCTTTTCGATCTTCTCAGATTTGATTTGCGTAGCTCTATTCATTTTTCCGGTGACTCTTCAAATCTGATTTGCGTAGGGTTGCGTCATCATTCTGACCCTACCTATATAATTTCTATTTTCCAGTTGGGTCGTGCCATCATTCCGATCCTACCCATATAATTCTCTTTCTCAGTAAGGTCATGCCATCATTTTGACCATACCCATATAATTTTATTTCTCATATTATGACCACTTTCAGCCATCAATTCTAACACTCCGACGCATGAGCATGTTCCGACCAATTTTTCTGTGACTTTCTTGTTCCATATCTAATATCGACTCATCTATTGATTCTGAGACCATCCATATATTTTATACCACAAATTTTGAGCACTTTTCGGCAACTGTTGCACTGTGAATAAGTCTATATGAAGCAACCACCTGATTTTGTTGCTCAGGGGAAGTCCAGTAGCCTTTGTATGTCGATTGCACAGTTCACTCTATGGTCTGAAATAGTCTTTCTCGAGCTTGGTTTGGGATGTTCAACATAATAATTCAGGTTTTTGGATGACTCATAGTGGGACTGATCACTCTGTGTTTTATCAACATTCTGCATCAAATCCAATATTTCATAAGAAGACCAAGTACATTGAGATTGATTGACATGATGACATCATGCATCAAATCCAATATTTCATGAGAAGACTAAGCACATTGAGATTGACTGTCAATTTTGTGAAGTGGATTGATCAACTTGTAGATATTTCAACAAGTCCCTCATTGGTCCTCATATTAATTACATTTGTAACAAGCGAGGTACATATGACTTGTATGCACCGGCTTGAGGGGGAGTGTTAGAATATGAATAGGTATATAGAATCCTACTTAGAATAGAAATAGGAATCGTAATAAAAATAGTAATAGTATTTAGTTTCCTATTTGGTAAAGGATTGTATTGTAGTTCTATAAATAGGGTCTCTATGTAATAATTTAGATACACAATTCAATAATATTTTTTTCTTATATTTCTCACTATATAATACTAAATAACGGCGAACGAGAGTAATTTTTCATACTTTTGGATATTGAAATGTTTTAGAAAGATGGGAATTGACGTTTTATAATTAAGGACAAAATGGTTAAGTTAAACATGAAATATTAAAGCTCCATACACGTTTAAGAAATAACAATATAAATTTCTTTTTAAAAAAAAAGAAGTTAAATTAAGAAAAACTAAAAACTACATCATATCTTAACATGCACTTCTGTAAGAGAAGGGAAGACTAAAGTAAGAAAAAAAATAACTTTATTAACCTTCCAATTCCTGTTGTATGGTTTAATTTGAATGAACATCTACAGAAGTATTTTCAGTATCAAGACTTTTAATTATTCAATTTTAAATGCTATCTTTATTTATATACTAACTTCATTGACGTTCTCAAAAAAAAGTTGCAAATATAAATTTTAATGTAGTTCAGGCCCAGTCTAAGCACATGCCCAATGCCACTATTTTAAACACAACAAAAATGCCAGAAGAGACCGACATAGAGAACTCCTGCATCCTGTCAAACTTGCACCCAATAAATATTTCAATAACAAGGAGGAAAGGAAGGAAGAAAATGAATTCCCAACTGCCTACATGAGATTAGAAAGGAGTGCATCTTAGTTATCTTTCATTGTCAATATTTTTCCAACAGAACAGGAAATTGCAAATTTACACTTAGAAACACTTAAAGGAATGTTGGTAGATGACCTGTTATAATATAAACTTACAAGCAAGACCAAAAGATAAAACATTAAATTGCAGTGACGAATTTCAATCTAAGGATTAGATGGCAAGTTGCTTACATGTCAGGAGGAAGACCCATAGCACTGAGGATAAGAGCTGCCTTTGTTCCACTCCACTCAGGTGGATGATGGTATTTACACAAAGATCCAAACTTGCAATCCCCATACTTCATGTAATAATGACATTCAGGCAGTCCAGGTCTTCTATTCCAAACTGTGATTTACATTATGAGGTTTTCTAATATATGATTTGCTGCCACTTAACCTAAGTGATTGTTGAATATGAGAACTATTGGTCAGTAAAGTTAGATGGCCATTTGTCATGAATTTGGAATTCTTGCAAAACTTTCATGTATAAGACTGTAATGTTCACTGTTATAATGCTAGTTGTTCCTGGTTATGATTTACAGTACTATATGAGGACGGGGATGTGCAAATTTGGTGCTTCCTGCAAATACCACCATCCAAGAAAGGGAGGGGAATCTCCAAGCCTTGTGATACATAACATTTATGGTTACCCGCTGTGACAGGTCTGTCTTCTTTTCATGTTCCTTCTGTCTCCTTGTATTGCTATCTCCATTCATTTTGTGTTTTCAATCCTTTTCCTTGTCTCCTTTGAAAAGTTTGACCATTAAATTATCTTTCTGATTTGGCTCATTGAGTTCATTTCACAGAATGCAAAGGAATGTTCGCACTATATGAAAACAGGGCAGTGTAAATTTGGTATCACCTGTAAATTTCACCATCCACTGCCAGCTGGTGTGCAAGTTCCAGCATCAGCGGCTGGACTTTTTCCTTTACCAGCGGCTCTTCCCCCACCAGCCACTTATCCAGTACTGCAATCTCTTTCTGTTGATTCAGCTGAACAATACGGAATGGTTACTGGCAACTTGCCAGTTATAAGGCCTTCTCTGCTTCCAGTTTCCTATATTCCTGACACATATGGTCCTATGCTTTTTCCCCCTGGAATGGTGCCTGTGCTGGATTGGACTCCTTATCTGGTATTTATATTGTAAGTGTTTGTTGCAACTGTTGATATAGATCTTTCCTGAAATGCAATGTTAATCGGCTAAGTATTAAATTATCTGGTGCAGGGTTCAACTAGTCCAGTGCCATCCCAAACTACTCAGTATGCAGCTGGAGCAGGTCCAGTTTTATGGTCATACACAACTATCTGCTTCAGCACCTGCCTACGCCGGGCCATATGTGTCTCTTACTGCTTCTCTTGCTGCTTCAAGCAGCATCCAAAATGAATTCTGTTGCTAGATCACACACTACAAGATAAGAAATGGAATATTATAGCAGAAGAAATGATTTTCATATTTTTCTTTGATTAGTGATCCTAAACTATAACAAAAGAATTTTTTTCAACAGGTAACTAACAAGGCAAATAAAAAAATAGCTAAATCTGTCAAAATCAAGACAACTAACAGATCAGAAAAAATATGGTAGGTTTCAACTGCATACTTATCTAAACCAAACATTTAGGTAGAATAGTAATCACATTCTAAAATTAAATCACAAAGTAGAAGGAAAATTTTCTTAAGAACAACATCTTCAGCATGAAACATGAAAAAATGGTAACAACAAAAACAACAAATCCATTGTAATTCCACAAGTAGGGTCAGGAAAGGAGAGTGTATACACAGACAAACCTAGTGTAAATACTAGAAAACGCGACAGAAGCTTTACACTTTTCAAAATGGACTGTACACAATTTAACTCTTTAAAACCAAACATTTGATATGTGTCGGAAGTAACACTATACATAATAGAGAGATAAAGACACTGGAAACTTCCACTAAGTATTGAATAGACTGACTTTAAAAAGTGATTGATTCACTACAAGGAAATCATAACCTCACTCTAGACAGCCAAGTGAACAGATGAATCAAGGTAAGGTAAAAAGTCTCAGAAGCTCAAAACTAGCACCCCAATGATAAAAGTAGAAATTAATCCGATTATTTATACTGAAGCACTAACGAGTAGCCCAACTCAACAGTATATTCCACAAGACCAAAATAAATTTAAAAAAACAGAAGTATGAGTTTAGTAGCAATGTAGCATAAATTGAACGCAGAACAGAATGCCAAAAATTAACTTATAACATTCTAGCAGTGGCTTTAAAAGAAAATGCAAAATTAAAACAGAGAAAGAGGTCTTTCTCCTTGAGCAGGCAGCAAACAGACGACTCGTGACAGGGCTGAGTCAGTCAAGTGTGCAATTTTGAGTATCACGAAAATCTTGGAAATATATAGAACAAATAACTGCAAACTTTCGTATGTCATAAAATGGGGAGCTAATGGAAGAGATAAATGTCATGCAGTAATCAATCATAGCTTATGCAAAAAATAAAGATCAATCATACAACAACTACTATGCCTCAGTTCAAGTTGGGGTCAGCTATGAATTTATATTGACCATGTTTCTCTATTTAAATTCATCTCATGCATCAACATTATACAACTATGATCAATCATAATTGGAAGAAAACGATACAAGTATAAGCAATGAAATTGGAAAATGGACAGTTGAAAGATAATTCACTCACTGCTAAATCCTTCTAAGGCAAAACATTGACTAGATACAGCAAAATGACGAATATTATGACAAAGCATATCTAGCAAATTAGATTCCTCCATAGAGCATTTGAAAGATGAGATGAGAAATCTCATCATGATCAACATCATAAATAGCATATAGATATAGAACATAATTTTTTTTAGCAGCCACTTATATGCTAGGACAACATAAGATGTCATTCAACATATTAGATATATGATACAATGGAAAAGCACATATACTGATTTGTTAACAAAAAAGGACAGCTCAATTAGTACAAGGTCAACAAAAAAAGTAAACAAAGTTATTGTACAAAGGAGAGCCAAATCCAAAAACACATCTCTCTCGAATTTGATCATCAAACTAGCACAAAATCCCAAACTGATTTCCATCACACTTAATGGAACTACCTGGCAAACATATTGGCCAGCTCTCTCAGGGCATTCTCCTCCAGTAGCTCTTCTTGCTCCCATAGCCTGTTATCAATTTATATACACGAAATTTCAAATCCTTCGTGCTGATTTCACTAAAGATCAGAAGTGCAAAATGTATAAAAAAGAAAGGATTTTCTTCTTTCAGACTATAATATTAAAGGATTAAGAATAGACATTTAAAAATCCGGAATAGAAATAGAAAAAAGCTGATTCTTAATAGATCAAAATCTGAATTGGATAGTAACAAAGGAAATCAAGTGATCAGGCATCATAATAAACACAAATACCTCAAAATGAACCCTAAAATTACACGATTTTTTGTGGCTTATAACAAAAATTACCAAACTCCGATTGTGAGGATGATTAAACCAACACCGAGAGCCATAGCCACAGACTCCGTTCCTCATGTAATAAATACAATCAGGCTCATAAAGTCGTTCAGGGTACGATCCTGAGCCACTACCGACCGACAACTGCCACATAGGTTCCGCATTACACCCAATGAGGAAAGAAATGATTCAGATCCACTCCACACTACATTTCAGGACACTGCCACATAGGTTCTGCATTTCCTGATGGTATCTAAGCAGTAATTGAGCAGTTTTTTCACTGAAACACTACTTCTTCCTCCTTGATGCCATTGGAGTATATATATACTCTAATGGTATCAAGGAGTAACTCAATAGTGTTTTACTGAAGCATTGTTTCTTCCTCTTTGATACCATCAGAGTATACATATACTTTGATGGTATCGAGCAGTAAACGCACATTAGTAGTTTACAACAATGGGTATGAAAGTAAGGGGTAGTCGTTTGTAAATAGTTTCTCTTTTTGGGGTATAAGTGTTCTTTTCCCTTAATTTTATCCTTTAAATGTACTAATTTTTAATTTTTGTTCTTAGCAGGCGAATTTGTGCTACCAAATGTATAGAAATGCAGTGAAACACAAATACATGGTAATTTACTACTTCCACAATTCATGCTATTAACGAGTAAATATCTCAAAAGATCACTTAACTTTGAGAAATTATATAGTAAAGTTAGTGAACTTTGTTTTATATCAATAAGATCACTCAACTACGGGTGATCCTATATCACCTTTTTTGTTTATCTTAGCTATGGAGGGGCTCAACCACATGATCAGGAGGGCAAGGGGAAATGGTTAGTTAAAGGGTTTCCAAGCTCAGGGGCAAGGACACAGAGAAGATGAAAGGGGAGTCACACATTTGCTTTATGCAGACGACTCACTAATCTTTGGTGAAGCTGAAGTATCACAGATTAGACATATTAGGGCTATCCTCACAATTTTTTAAGGCACTTCTGGACTGCATGTTAATTGGCAAAAGAGTTGTCTTTACCCAATGAACAAAGTTGATAATATGGAGATATTAGCAAGTAATCTTGGATGCCAGGTAGCTGACTTACCCACAAAGTACCTAGGGATGCCCCTGGGTGCAAAGAACAAAGAGATGTAGAGACAGGAGATTGGCAAGATGGAAGAGTCAGTATTTGTCCTAATCCTTAGGAGGGAGATTAACACTAGTCAAATCTGTGTTGGATTCCCTTCCTTCCTATATGATGAGCCTATTTCCTATACCAAAGAGTATTGTGAAGAGAATAAAATTGCTCGGAAAAACTTTTTTGTGGAATGGACACAAGGAGCGGAAAGGTTACAACCTTGCAAAATGGGATGCTAAAACACTTCACAAGAAGCAGGGGGGATTAGGTATCAAGAAACTCAGCCTCCAAAACTCTCGTCTTTTGCAAAAATGGTTATGGAGGTTCTGTGCTGAGGATACGCCTTTATGGAAAAGAATCATCATTGAGAAATATCGACTTCAAAGTCACCGGATCACTGACAATGTCCTTGGTTGTAGTGTCTGGAAGACTATTTGAAGACTCTGGCCCCAGTTTCAAAAAAATATTCAGCTCAAGGTGGGTAATGGCGTGAAGATTGAGTTCTGGAATAAACTTTGGATAGGTGAAAGGAGCTTGAAATCTCTCTTCCCTGATTTGTTCCTCCGCAGTCAACAGACTAGGGCCACTATAGCTCAGATGTGGAGCATACAAGGTTGGAATTTCAACTTTTAGAAGGGTCCCTAAATGATTGGGAGGTTCAAAGAGTTGCAGATTTGCTTATGGTGATAAATGATTTCAATGGAAATACCAATGCACCGGACAGACCAGTGTGGAAACTTCACAGCAAGGGTGCATTCACTATGAAGTCATGCTATTGGAGGAGAAATACTGGCCAACTACAGATTAGGAACTGGCCTTGGAAGCTAATCTGGAAAGCCAAAGTCCCCTTAAAAGTTTCCTGTTTTGTGTGATTAGTTTGCAGAAAAGCTTGTTTGACTCATGAAGTACAGATTTGCTCAAGATGTTTTATGTGTGACCAGGATGCTGAAATAAATAGCCATCTATTTCTACACTGTAAAACAACTGCAAATCTGTGGAACATGTTCTTGTGTATACTTGAAGTGAGTTGGGTGGTTCCCAAAACTACTAAAAGTATGATGGGCTGCTGGAAAGAGATTGGAAGAAGAGATTCAGAAGAGGACTGGTGGGAATTAATCCCCGCAAGTATCTGGTGGACATTGTGGAAGGAAAGAAATGCAATAGGCTTTGAAGACAAAAACAACAACATTCAAAAAATCAGAATGAATTGCCTTGGTCTTCTATATTTTTGGTGTAAACAGGATATGGTGGGGGATATAGAACTTTTTGTTGATTTTATAGGGAAATTGTAAAGCTCCATAGACTAGTTCTTATGGCCTTCTGTATTTTACCCTATGGGATGTAAGTGCTCACTCTCATCATTGTTTGGATGATGGAATTTTTTGAATACACAGTTACCTGTCCCTCAAATAAAATAAGATCACTCAACTTACGACTTTACTTTTACAAAATCATTCGTCCAAATTTATCAAGGAAAACAAAAACCTTCACTTTGACCTCTTGACGTTTTGGGTTAAGAAAATAATACTTTCTTTACTTTTTGAATGTGATCAAACTGATAATAAACCTTCTTGATCTTAAGTCAATAACTAAAAAAGAGTTATATTATTGCATATGTTTTTAAAATGTCAAAAACTAGCTTCAATTAATATGGATTATAACACTACTCTTTTAAATAATTGAAATATCTATTGCCTAGCAAAAAGATAACATGCAAGTGTCAGCTTATTTAACTTTAAGACGTGCAAATATTGCTGAGAAATTAAATCTTACAACACCTTTTATTACTAGTATTTCATAGCATGAACGGTGGTCCAAACAACATTTTGGAGATAGAAGGGAAGTTATTTTGTAGAAATACAATTTATATATGGAGCGAAAGCAGATACAAGTCATGGTCCAAAAAAAAAACAATCTATGAAGGATGACATTCAAATTTAGTACCTCAGTATGAGCCAACACGCGAATAACACAAACATAAAAACTCACTCTAGTTATCTCTTTTACCTTCATCAGTCGCATATTTCTTGGAGTATTCCATAAAGGCTGCCATCTTGGACTTGCTCCAGTTTTAGTAGCACCTCTTCATTGAGATGATGAGCCCAAAGTGATTGAATGAAAGCAGGTTTCAACCTGACTTTCATCAGGATCAGGTACAGGATCTAGATCGGTCCATACGGTGAACGGAAAATCCCTTCTTTCTACAGATGTTTTCAACAATCAACAGTCATGGGGCGAGGATAAAAATGAGAAAGAAGCACATTAATTTATCGTTTTTTACATGTTCTTTATTATATTTATTTTTTATTTCTCACATGTAAGGTGTGTATAAACCTTTAAGTTGTATCCCGTTCCTTCAATGGAGGAAATGATGAATCTTAAAATTCTTGCTCATACGAGGATGTGAATTGATGATCAAGAAGAGAAAAAGGAAAAGCAAAAGCTTTGCAAGTACCGTATATCAGATATCTCTAAAAGAGAGTGAGTTTTTGATATTCTCTTTTTTTTGTTTCTCACTCGGTATCCGGAGCCTGCATTGGATCCCAGACTAAATTCAGATGGTGCACTGCAGGGCTCATTCGGGGGTATGCTCCCAACAGGATTTTTCTCCATACTCAGGGCTCAAACCCGAGACCTCTTGTTAAGGGTGGAGCAGTCCCACCACTGCACGCAACTGTACATGGAATGTCATTCTTTGCTACACTGCAAGAAATATCCAATATGAAAACATAATAAAGATACCAACTACCAAAAAATTGTAAGATTTGAATGTTTCTTCTAAGAGTGAATACATAAAACAATAAAACATCACAAGGGGATAGACATGGACAAGGGGTCTATATGCATTACATATGACGAATTTAACAAACTTGCAAAATACATAGTTAGCTATGCAAACAATCATGTGATTTTTTGATGACTGAAAACACAAAAAGTCAAAGCAAGAGCCCTTATTGAAGATAGAATAAATGAGAGTACTATATTTTTAAAGTGTCTTCTTGCTAATTTTTTTTGTTATTTGTTCATGAAATTAAGGTCTTTCACATGTAAACATCTTCTTTTGACGTTTCGATTGCTACAAGAAGTATCACCTGCCATTTATGCATGGTAAAAACTATTTGATAAATTCTTAAAATCTCCGTATTTGGTTGTAGCAGGCTAGCAGCGTATCTGAAGTGCCATAGTCCAACAATGTCAAGCTTGTCAGCGTGTCTTGAAGTACAGCACTGTCAAAACAGTACCATCCCGAGTTCTCTACTTTGCTTAGTAGTATGAAGTCAATAATCAAGGAAAGGTCATTATGCAAAAAGCAGTACAAGTCAATCTTGAGTCCAACATATTTATTGCAATTTATTTGAACCTAAACTACTAAAATCATGCATGAGTAGATCATGACATTCATGAAAAATAGAGAGAAAACATACATACGCCAACCAAACTCACTATCAAAATCTGAATGAAAATCCACCAAAAACAAATTTAACAGAAAATGGAGAAACTCTACAGGAAACCCAAAAGTGAAGACCAAAAGGAGCAAAAAAAGAAAAAGAATATAGGAGAAGATTTGGAAGACAAAGGAGCTAGGGCCTGAGAGATTATAGCAGCAACATCATAACAATAGAAATGAAAATTTGCATCATTTAAAATTGGACACATTCTTTAATTTTTATCATGTTATTCTAGCGTATGCCTACAAAAGGTATCGGGGTTATGAAAACAACTCTTTTGTCTAACCTCCGATTGTCTATTTTATGTATGAATGGATATTACTTGATACCTCCGAATGAAAATCTCAAATTTTCAAAAGAGTATGAAAAACTACCATTGAACCAAAAATTAATGAACTCTCAAAGAAATCAAGTGTCCCTACTCCCAAGAAGTTGGTTGGGATTGTGGGAACTATCGCTCGAGAAGTAAGAAGTTGATCCGTGTTTGGTCATAAGGATAATAGTTCTTCTTAGGTCTGGAGCGGTCGGACCAGGGGGTTATCCGCGATTGGTAATGGCACAACCAGAATAGGAGTAGAGTAGAAAAGGGATATATGAAAATCGTTCTCTTCCTCTGTGCATCTCATTGATGGGTAAATATCCATAAAAAAGGGACAACTTTCGTGTAGTTTGTGATTAAACGTAACTACTAAGATTTTCTCTATAATAAATCCTTTTCTTGATATATCTCTTCTTGTTCCTCAATCTTCGGAGAGGGCCCCTACAAATTCGTAGATCTGAGGAACATTCTGCAACAAAAGGATGGTCCCCTATGCATTTCATTTTTTCCTTTAGGTCAAAAAAGAATATCCCCATCATAGTGAACCTCTCCTTGTAATCGGGTTGAGGTAGATACCTCCCATAAGCCAGAAATCAGTGCAAAAAGAACGAAAAGGGGAGAAAAACTTACCAGACTTGACGAACTATGTTGCACGGACTCTCCAATATAGTTGTTGCACCCGTGTCAGATCTTCTAAAAGCAATACTTGATACAGTGACTTTAAAATACCTGTTCATCCTCCTCTGTGCCATAAGAATAACAATAGTAAGTAATATTAGAAGTATTTAAGCAATGTCACTAAATAAAGAAATCAGATCCAAAAATGTAATGGTGACAATGAAACGATAGCTTAAAGAACGTCCAACTAAAATCACACAAGGACTCCGTCTGCTCAAATAAATAGATACAAATACCTCCCATCAAAATACATGCCTGAAAGTAAGCTAGCTCAAATGTCAGGCATATTTTCTTGTTTATTCTTTCGTTTCTGTGATTTGTTAATTATATTCATTAGGCTGGTCCTAATGCATTCATTATTTTAAAATTAAATGTCTGAAAGTAAATAAAAGAAAAAGTACCAAAAAAATTAGAATCTCACATCAATTAATTCATGACAAAGTGGAAGTAATAGCATAATACTGTCTGTTACAGAATTTGACACCAAAAACTCAAAAGTTAACATGCATCTGCAGTATCAAATAAGATTAATTTGTTTTTGTCAATTCAACTGAATTTCTAATTGATTGATTTAAAGTGACACATACATTCTTAAGTTCCAATATCGAGCACACTTAAACGGTATGGCATCATAAAGTTAGGAAATATGTTTTTTAATCATTGAAGGGTCCAAATATAGTCCATAATACAAGTTGACATATTGAACAAACTAAACAAACTTTGACTCTCTTAACACAATAAACAAAAAAGAAGCAACTAAAAAACTGAAACTTGAGATAACATCACACATTTACAGATATCATCTTGCATTTTAGTCTAGCTTTACGAGAAATGCGAAGTTTCAACATTTTTTCTGCACTTGAACAAGTATTTGGAAAGAAGAATCCTGAGACAACCACAATGCAGGGGCCATTTAAAGCTCTTCCCAGGTTTTCAGGTATTTTTAGGCATTCAAGAGACGCACAAATTCTCACAGGAAAATTATTGCTCCCTCTATCGCATTTACCGTAATGTGTTTGGTTGAACACAGAGTTTAAGTAAGAAAAACTGATTTTTAAAACTTGTGCTCTAAAACATGTCATAGGCATTCTTGTGGCTATTAAATCGTGTCATTAAAGGGTAAAACGTAAGGCTTAAATTTAAATAGTTTGTAAATTTAGAAAGATATCATTATTTACATTCATGGACAAGGTAGCCACTCAAGGATGAAGAATAAGATGTACAAGTATTTATTGCTTGAAAAATAACTTTGTTAGGCATTGTTATGGGATCATTAATGTGAAAATAAGAATGTTGAGATGGATGAACACAAATACAAGAATAGACAATATTGTAATGATTACCTCCTTTAAAAGGTGCAAACAATACACAAAGAGAACAAGATAATAGGTGAGATAACAGGAAATGTCGCTCAATATGATTTGATTACATCCTATGTATGCCTACAAACGCATCCGTCTATTGTGTGAAATCATGATGATTGAAAGTGTTACAAGTGTAGACGAGCTAGACCTTATTTTATAAGGTAATGTAAAAAAAAAAAAAGAGGACCATCTAGACTAGAATCTCGAGGAAGGAAGTTTGCCTCAAAGGACCTACAATCTTTCGAATCTACACACTTCGCAAAAACGTAGAACACAATGATTGACGTGTGTTATTAAAGATGTGTATATTAATGGAAAATGTAAAGAACCACTAGTTATTAAAGAACCTAAATGATTGTATATTGGAATGAAATAGGCCCAAGTGAAGTGAAAATGACCAGTGAGGATTCACATTAGCTGAATTTGACTAGTTTGTGATCGACACGTGGTCTTTTCTTTGTCGTTTTTGTGAGAAATATTGAAAAGAATATTATTGAATTGTTGTTGTGTCTACATTATTACATTGAGACCCTATTTATAGACACTAGAATACAATCCTTTCCAAGTAGGATACTATTTACTATTCCTATTTCAATTTGTATTCCTATACCTATTCCAAATAGGATTGAATAAACTTATTCATATTATCTAATAGGATTGTATAAACCTATTCATATTCTAATAGGATTGTATAAACCTATGCATGTTCTAACACTCCCCCTCAAACTAGTGCATACAATTCATGTACCTAGCTTGTTACAAATGTAATTAATAAGAGGACCGATGAGGGGATTGGTGAGATATCTGCAAGTTGATCAGTCGACTTCACAAAATTGACAATCAATCTCAATGTGCTTATCTTCTCATTAAATACTGGATTTGATGCATAATATCAGTCAATCTCGATGTGCTTAATCTTCTCATGAAATACTGAATTTGATGCATAATGCCGATAAAACAGAGAGTGATAAAATTACAGTGTAAAAACTGTTTCAGACCATAGAGTGACTTACACAATCGACATACAAGGCTACTAAACTCCCCCTAGCAACAAAGTGCTCAAAATCTAGTATAAAGTATATGGATCATGTTGGAATCAATAGATGAGTCGATATTAAACAAGAAAGTCACCGAAACATTGGTCGGAACATGCTCATACGCCGGAGTATTAGATTTGATGGCTAAAAGTGGTCACAATCTAAGAAATAAAATTATATAGGTAGGGTCGGAATGATGGCACGACCCAACTTGAAAATAGAAATTATATAGAATAGTTCGAATTGATGGAACGAACCCATTGAAAAAGAGAAATAATATGGGTAGGGTCGGAATGATGGCACGACCCTACTGAAAAAGAAAAATTATATGGGTAGGGTTGGAATGATGGCACAACCCTACGCAAATTAGATTTGAGGAGTCACCGAAAAGACGAATAGAACTACGCAATTCAGATATGAGAAAATAGTTTGAAAAAAATCCACCGTACTACACAAATTAAATTTGAAAAGTAGTCCAAAGAGATGCACGGTGCTATGCAAATCAGATATGCAAAAAAAGGTGGTCACTAAAAGGATGGCACGGTGCTACACTAATTCTATATGAAAAAGTAGTCACTGGAATGATGGCACAGTGCTACACAAACCAGATACGAAAAAGTAGTCAACAGAAAGATCGCACGGTGCTACACAAAATAAATATGAAAAAGTAGTCACCGGAATGATGGCACGGTGCTACACAAATTAAATATGATAAAGTAGTCACCAGAATGATTGCACGGTGCTACACAAATTAGATATAAGAAAGTAGTCACCGAAATGATGACACGGTGCTACACAAATTAGATATGAGAAAATAGTCACCAGAAAGATACACGATGACCCAACTTTTGCTAAAATAATCATTGGCCAGACGGGCGGCCTATATGAATAATAGCCGCCCGCCGACAGTGGAAGCTCTTTGATTGTTTACCAAGATCGTAGAGACTCTGATACCATGTGAGAAATATTGAAAAAGAATATTATTAAATTGTTGTCGTGTCTACATTATTACATTGAGACCCTATTTATAGACACTAGAATACAATCTTTTCCAAGTAGGATAATATTTACTATTCCTATTTCTATTTGTATTCCTATTCTTATTCCAAATAGGATTGTATAAACTTATTCCTATTCTAATAGGATTGTATAAACTTATTCCTAATCTAATAAGATTGTATAAACTTATTCATGTTCTAACAGTTTTAAAGCTACAATTCCTCATAAGTAAAGTCATGATAGATTTAATTTATCACTAAATTTAGAATTGCCCTTAGTTTGGATTGGAGACCACAATATTATTTAAAAATTACACTGAAACAAATAATATTACTTAGGAAACATGAAGAAAGAAAGGTGTTATATAACTTATATTTTTATCTCTATAAAAGAAGAGAAGATTCAACTTTTGTAGTCTTCACAGGAATTCTCTTGTCCATTTTACCCCTAATTGAAGCTCTAATGACCTTGCAAGCTCTCACCCATTTTGGTAAATTTGAATAACTATATGGGCTTCTTAAATGGTATAAAAAGCTAAGTTACCTGGACTCGGGTAAGTGTCTGATATGGGTGCGTATCTAGGGATCGAATTCTTCCTGATCTAACTTTTAAGGCTCGGAAAATACGGATCTAGGTATGGATACAGGTACAAATATTCACCTAAAAATAATTCAAATATCTAAATGTTACCTTCTCATAAAAATATAATTCAAATATCTAAAAACAGAGTTATAAAACCCATATTTGAGATATTATGAGAAAAAATGTTGATCAATAGGAGAATCCTGAAAATAGAATAAAAGGAAAAAGAGTGACTTTGAAATTTCTATATACAAGGTATTCCATTTTCTCCAATTTTACCTTAGCTTTTGTTTTGATTACACATTCATTGAATCAGAATTTCTCCGTTGATTTTGGTCAAAGTACCCAAAATCGATTGACTAGAACATGTACGGATCCCACACGTACCCATGCTACGTCGACACGGGTGCGATATTAAAAGTGACAAGTCCAAGCAACATAGACAAGGAGTGATGATGTTATGGAAGAGAGGATAGTGACATCATGAAAGATATATTTATTCAACCAAATTTAAAATTGATCCAAGAGTTTGTTGTCCTTCATTTATATGGAAATGATTATTAAACTTAATTTCAAATCATCTTTTTTCCTAAGAAATTTACTATGAACAAGTAAAATAGTTATGGTGACATTCCGTTTCTACCTTAGTACATGTTTAATCATTAAATTATTTTTTTAATATATAGCTAAAAATGATTTTAAAAATTAAATATAAACTACAATTTAACTCTCCAAATAGTATAATACTAAATAATGGTAAACGACAATAATTGTTCACACTTTTGGATATTGAAATGTTTTTTAAAAGATGGGAATCAACGTTTTATATAATTTAGGAAAAAATGGTTAAGTTAAACATGAAATATTAAAGCTCCATACACGTTTAAGAAATAAAATATCAATTTCTTTTTTAAAAAATCAAATTAAGAAAAATTAAAAACTACATCATATCATAACATGCACTTTTTAAAGAGAAGGAAAGATTAAAGTAAGAAAAAAAAATAACTTCATTAACCTTCCAATTCCTTTTGTATGGTTTAATTTGAAAGAACATCTATAGAAGTATTTTGTTGTATCAAGACTTAATTATTTAATTTTAAATGCTATTTTTATTTATTGATTAACTTCATTGATGTTATCAAAAAGAAGTTGCAAATATAATTTTTAATGTAGTTTATTCCCGGGCTAAGCACATGCCCGGTTCCACTATTATAAACACAATAAAAGTGCCAGAAGACTGACAAAGAGAACTCCTGCATCAACTGTCAGAACTTGCATGCAATAAATATTTCAATAACAAGAAGGAACGGAAGGAAGAAAATGAATTCCCAACTGCCTACATGAGATTAGAAAGGAGGAGCACATCTGAGTTATCTTTCATCGTCAATAATTTTCCAACAGAACAGGAAATTGCAAATTTGTACTTAGAAACACTAAGGGAATGTTGGTAGATGACCTGTTATAATATAAACTTACAAGCAAGACCAAAAGATAAAGCATTAAATTGCAGTGAAGAATTTCAATCTAAGGATTAGATGGCAAGTTGCTTACAGGTCAGGAGGAAGACCCATAGCACGGAGGATAAGAGCTGCCTTTGATCCACTCCACTCAGGTGGATGATGGTATTTACATGAAGATCCAAATTTGCAATCCCCATACTTCATGTAATAATGACATTCAGGCTGCCCAGGTCTTTCCGGAAATGCAAGTCCATCCTGGATGCTGCTTGAAGCACCAAGAGAAGCACTAAGAGACACATATGGGCTTGCGTAGGCAGGTGCTGAAGCAGATAGTTGTGTATGACCATAAACTGGACCTGCTCCAGCTGCAGACTGAGTAGTTTGGGATGGCACTGGACCTGCTCCAGCTGCAGAGTGAGAAGTTTGGCATGGCACTGGACCTGCTCCAGCTGCAGAGTGAGTAATTTGGGATGGCACTGGACCTGCTCCAGCTGCAAACTGAGTAGTTTGGTATGGCACTGGACTAGTAGAACCCTGCACCAGATAATTTAATACTTTCCCGATAAATAATGCATTTCAGGAAAGATCTATATCAACAGCTGCAACAAACACTTATAATATACATACCAGATAAGGAGTCCAATCCGACACGGGAACCATTCCAGGGGGAAAAAGCATAGGACCATATGTGTCAGGAATATAGGAACCTGGAAGCAGAGCAGGCCTTATAACTGGCCAGTTGCCAGTAACCATTCCATATTGTTCAGCTGAATCAACAGGAAGAGGTTGCAGTTCTGGATAAGTGGCTGGCGGTGGAACAGCCGCTGGCAAAGGAAAAGGTCCAGCTGCTGATGCTGGAACTTGCACACCAGCTGGCTGTGGATGGTGAAATTTACAGGTGATGCCAAATTTACACTGCCCTGTTTTCATATAGTGCGAACATTCCTTTTCATTCTGTGAAACAAACTCAATGAACCAAATCAGAAAGAAAATTTAATGGTCAAACTTTTCAAAGGAGACGAGCAAAAAAATTGAAAACACAAACGAATGGAGATAGCGATACAAGGAGACAGAAGGAACATAATGAACATGAAAAGAAGACAGACCGGTCGCAGCGGGTAACCATAAATGTTATGTATCACCAGGCTTGGAGATTCCCCTCCCTGTCTTGGATGGTGGTATTTGCAGGAAGCACCAAATTTGCACATTCCCGTCCTCATATAGTACTGTAAATCATAACCAGGAACAACTAGCATTATAACAGTGAACATTACAGTCTTATACATGAAAGTTTTGCAAGAATTTCAAATGCATGACATATAGCCATCTAACTTTACTGACCAATAGTTCTCATATTCAACAATCACTTAGGTTAATTAGCAGCAATTCATATATTAGAAAACCTCAGAATGTAAATCACAGTTCGGAATAGAATAGGTTCAGATGCTAGATCACACAGTACAAGATAAGAAATGGAATATTATAGCAGACGAATGATTTTCATTATTTTCTTCGTTTAGTGATTAAAGTAAACCAAAGGAATTTTTTTCAACAGGTAATATACAAGGCAAAATCCAAAAAATAGCTAGATCTGTTAAAATCAAGACTACTAACAGATCAGAAAAAATATAGTAGGTTTCAACTGCATACTTATCTAAACCACACATTCAGGTAGCAATAGCATTCACATTCTAAAAATTAAATCACAAAGTAGAAGGAAAAAATTCTTAAGAACAACATCTTCAGCGTGAAACATGAAAAAATGGTAACAATAAATCCATTTGTAATTCCACAAGTAGGGTTTAGAAAGGATAGTGTATGCAGGCAAACCTAGTGTAAATACTAGAAGACACGACAGAAGACTTTACACTTTTCAAAATGAACTCTTCAAAACCAAACACTTCATGTGTTGGAACACTAAACATAATAGAGAGATAAAGACACTGGAAACTTCCACAAAGAATTGAATAGACAGAATTAAAAAGTGATTGATTCACTCCACGGAAATCATAACCTCACCTCACTCTAGACAGCCAAGTGAACAGATGATCAAGGTAAGGTGAAAAGTTTCAGAAGCTCGAAACTAGCACCCCCATGATAAAAAGTAGAAATTAAATCCGATTATTTAAACTGAAGCACTTACGAGTAGCCCAATTCAACAGTATATTCCAAAAGACCAAAAGAAATAATTATAAAAAAAAACAAAAGTATGAACATAGTAGCATAGTATTGAACGCAGAACAGAATGCCAAAAATTAACTTATAACATTCTAGCCGTGACTTTGGAAGAAAACGCAAGATTAAAACAGAGAAAGAGGTCTTTCTCCTTGGGCAGACAGCAAACAGACGACTCGTGAGAGGGCTGAGTCAGCCAAGTGTGCAATTCTGGGAATCAAGAAATTTTTGGAAATATATATAACAAATAACTGCAAGCTTTTGTATGTCATAAGATGGGGAGCTAATGGAAGAGATAAATGTCAAATAGTAATCAATCATAGCTTATGCAAAAAAAGAAAAAAGAGATCTATCATACAACTTCTATGCCTCAGTTCACGTTGGGGTCAGCTATGAATTCATATTGACCATATTTTTCTATTTTAGTTCATCGCATGCACCAACATTGTACAACAATGATCAATCATAATTGGAAGAAAATGATACAAGTATAAGCAATGAAATTGGAAAATGGACGGTTGAAAGATAATTCACTGCTAAATACTTCTAAGGCGAAACATTTACTAGATACAGCAAAATGACCAATATTATGACAGAGTCTAGCAAATTTAATTCCTCCATAGAGCATTTGAAAGATAAGATGAGAAATCTCATCATGATCAACATCATAAATAGCATACTAGATACTAGAACATAATTATTTTTATAAGCCACTTATATGCTAGGACAACACATGATGTCATTCAGCATATTAGATATATGATACAATGGAAAAGCACATCTATTGATTTGTTAACAAAAAGGGCAGCTCAATTAGTACAGGGTCAGCAAAAAAAGTAAACAAAATTATTGTACAAAAGATAGTCAAATCCAAAAACACATCTTCTCTCTCGAACTTGATCATTAAACTAACACCAAATCTCAAACTGATTTCTATCACATTTAATGGAACTACCTGGCAAACAAACTGGCCAGCTCTCTCAGGGTATTCTCCTCCAGTAGCTCTTCTTTCTCCCACAGCCTGTTATCAGTTTAGATACATGAAATTTCAAATCTTTCGTGCTGATTTCACTAAAGATCAGAAGTGCAATTTTAAAGGATTAACAATTAAAAATCCAGAACGAAGATTGAAAAAAATTGATTTCTTAATAGATCAATCTTAATTGAACAGTAACAAAGCAAATCAAGTGATCAGGCATCATAATAAACACAAATACCTCAATGAACCCTAAAATTACACGATTTTTATGTGGCTTATAACAAAAATTACCAAACTCCGATCACGAGGATGATTAAACCGACAACGAGAGCCATAGCCACAGATTCCGTTCCTCAAGTAATAAATACAATCAGGCTCGTTAAGCCGTTCAGGGTACGATCCTGCTTCAGTGCCAACCGACAACTGCCCCATAGGCTCTGCATTACACCCAATGAGGAAAAAAATGAGTCAGATACAGTCCACATTACATGAACTAGTGTCCAAAAATTCCGGCGAAATACAGATAAATTAGAAGATGCAGGTAAGAGTTTACTCACCTTCCAGTCCAGTTTCTTCGTCGAGAGAAGCTTGCACCGTCACCGGAGCGTCATCGGTCGGCTGATCTCCACTAACCATCTCCATTTTCCCCCAAATGAACTAAAAAAAACTTATCAACATAAAACCATATTTCATACGTTACACTTTTGTTTTAGAGGAAAAAAAGAGACTTAGCTTTGGCTTTGACAATATGACAAAAATCTCTCTCCTCTCACATTCAGTCAGTTAGTGTGAATACTGTGTGCGCCATGTGATTTGGGAAGTTTAATGGCTTTGCTTCTTTTACCAAAATACTCTCTAAGTTTGTATTAGTTGATCATTAATGCCTCAGTCCCATATTATTGATCATTATATTAAATATATATACTTTTTACATATTAGTTCAAGAAAGTATTAATTTGTTTTTATATTATCTTTGTAATTAATTCTTTTTAAAAGTGTTCATATTTATTTATAAAATTTCTAAAAAGTTTTTTAAGGAGTAAATTAGTAAAATCATATTTTTATTTATGATTTCTCAAGTAACATGAAAAATGGAGAGTAATCAACTAATATGAAACGGAGGGAGTTGTCTTTTTTCCGTGTTTTGTGTTTTTATGAATTTTGTCTCAAAGTCGTTGTAAGTTGTTTCTTTCGGATTTGGCACCCCTTTATTATATTTTCTCTCCATTTCGTAAAGTACACATCTAAAGAAACTTTAATTCTTAAAAATTAATATCATATTATACTAACAAGTAGGAGTGTCAAATGGGCAGGTTGGACTGAAATTGAAGAGGTTAAAATGGGTTGCCTTAAAAAGTGGGTTGGGTTATAACCCGTCCAAATTTACTTTGGGTTCAAATGGGCTAAAACGGGCTAAAACCCGGGTTGGGTCATGCCCCGCCCAATTTGACCCGTTTTATCTAAAGCAAAATCTTAATAGCAAGTAGAAATACAATACGATATTAAAAAATAATACAACACGACATTAAAAAGCAATACAACACGATATTAAGTAGCAATAATAACACGATATAAGTAGCAATACAATACGATATTAAGTAGAAACAATAACAAGATATTAAATAGCAAATAAGTGGTATTATATGAACTTTAAAACCACAAAGCAGTTTGAAGAAGAACATAATTTTCTTTTTTAAAAAAAGGGCAATTTACATAAATCACATACTTTTAAGGAAAAATTACAATATATCCCTTAAAAGTTTATAATTACAGAAATCTCTCAAACGGATATAATAATATAAGCGCTGATACATTAATCTGATGCGCGAGATACATTAATCGTTAAGTAAGATACATTACATTTTATACATGATACACAAATCTGATGTACACATGATACACTAATCTGATGCGTGAGATACAATAATATAAGCGTTGATACATTAATCTGATGCGCGAGATACACTAAATCTGATGCGAGAAAATGAGGGATTTTGGAGATTTGTAAAACTTATAGGGAAATGGCAATAAGTAAACTAAAATGTGGATTTCTGTAAAAAAAAAAAAAAAAAAGTAATAAATGACTTGTAATTTTTGTGAACGTCAAATATTTTGAACAAATTAATTGGCCAAAATCAAATTTGCTGTGATCTTTCTGTGAAGAAGTGAGAGCAGCCGGTTAACTTTAGAATATAGTTTAAGGAAGCGGGTTGAAGTGGAGAATGTATTGGGCTCAACTTAGAATTAATTTAAAATGGGTTTATTGGGTTGGGTTGAAAACTGATCCAAATCTAAATTATGCTAGATTCAACCCATAAAAGTATGGGAGGGTTGGGCGGGTTATTAAGTTTGGGCTCATTTTTAACACCCCTACTAACAAGTATCATAATCATAATTAAGTCAATAACTTTTGGAAAACTACTCTCCAAAATTTATAAGAACAAGATATTCTTCACAAAATTTGATATACATTAATTTCATTGATTTTTGTGAGTAAATTAGAATTAAATTTTTTGTTTGGTATTTTTCAAAGGTTAATGTTAAATAGCCAGAAAATTTGACCAGAATTTGGTCAGAAATTTAAAAAAACTATAATATCTTTTTTATTTTAAAATAAACTGATCTTTTTTTCATTTTTTAGTTAAAATATATTAAAGTTAAAATGGTAAAAATATTCAAAAAGGTAAAATAATATAAAATACCATTCTAACCAAATTTCTCTGGCCAAAAGATTTTTCCTTTTTCAAATTCTGAATTACTATGATCAATCCGGAGTTGAGAAAGAAAGGCCATACACCCCTAAACGTGATAATCTTTTGAAATCTGAAAATGCTCTCTTTTGTTTTTCCAATTTTTTTCTTTTTCATCAAAACAAGAATTTTCTCAAACAAAAAATGCGATCATTTTTAAATTTAAAATGTATTTTTTGGTTATGCAAAAATCAAATTAGAGTAAAATTAATATTTGAATATAAAAGTATAAGATGAAATTAATGATATTAATGTATATCAAAATTTGTGAGGAATATCATTTTCTTATCAAATTTGAAGAATAGTTTTCTAAAAGTTGTTGATTTAGAGTCTGTTTGGCATTACTGTTAAAATTGTTTATTTTTAGAAGCACATTTTTAAAATAGCTTTTCAAAAAAGTTTGTTTGAAAATAATAATAATTTGTGTTTGGTTAATTCATTTGAAAAGTGATTTTGATAAGCAAACTATATTTGGATAATCTTTTTTTTTTTAAATACCTTTGAGAGTCAAATTACGAAAAAGGACAAGTATCAATGCACTTTTAATATTAAGATTATTTATAGAAAGAAATTATTTTAAATATTTATTATTAAAATTTTATGTAAATTTTATTTTTATTAAATTAAAATGTACATATTTAATTTTTCAATCACTATTTCACATAGATTAATAAAATAAATAAATTAAATATTGATATAATATTCATATGATGATTTAAATATAATTAGAAATATCAAGAAAAATAAATTTAAATTATTCACAAATAAAATCCACAACAAAAATAAATAAATAAATATAAAGGATATATTGATAAATATGTATATACGGTAGGGAACATTTTGGTCTTGAAAAAAATAATTTTCTGCTTTTGCTTTTTTAAAAACAGAAATTTTTAGTTTTTTTTCAACAACACAAAAATTGCTTTTGCTTCCATTCAAAAACAGTTTTATTGATTTGCCAAACACCTTATTTTTCAAAAGAAAATATTTTTTTCTCAAAATAAATATTTCTTGGCTTCCAACAATAATGTCAAACAGACTCTTAACTATGATTATGATACTAGTTAATATAATATAATCTTAACCTTTAAAAATTAAATAGGATACATATCTTTTATCTAGATATGTACTTGATGAAATGAAAAGAAATTGTAATGGATTGGAGTCAAATCCTTTCCTTGCTGGCAAGCAGGCGTTTGGTTGAAGGGTGGGGGGATTGAACTTTAAAGAATGACATTCTTCTTCTTCTTTTTTCATTTTTTTGTTTGGATTTGATTTTAGTTTTTAACTTATTTAAGTCAAAAATTATAAATTCAGATTATAAATATGAGCAACTTTCACATATATCAAACATAAAAATTATATTTGTATATTATAGCTATAGTTTACATAATTGCGCTCCATAGCAAATTTTATATTTGCTATGGAGCTTTTGATTTGTATAATTCGCTACAAACATCTAATTTTATACAAATTGTTTAGTTTTGTATAAATTCATTTATACATTGTAATTTGAATAATAAGATCTGTATTTGTATAATTATAAGTGTATAGGACGAAAATATATGTATTTATATTTTTATATACACTTTTCTCTCGCGTTATACAAATACAAACACATTTTATACCGAAATGTATAAAATGACTAATTGTATACCGAAAATAGTTAACTGTATACCGAATCAGATGGCCAAAAAAAGGATGTTTGTTGTGAATTATAAATTAAAATAAACTATGGTTATAAAATTTAATTTGAATTAATAGTTTGTTATTTGATACAATTTTTCCTATAAAAATTCCAAACTATCGTGAATCATAGTAATTATAACCTAAACTAGTGGAATTTATGTAATTTGCCCAAAATAGATTGTTTGGGAATTGGGCCCAAAAAACAGTTTCTATTCGCCTGGACTGATTTTGGGCCACTACTGTTTCTGATTTGCCTTGGACTCTTTCAGGCCCATTTTCTAGCTGCTGCTCAAGATGATTTTGGGCTTTTGGCCCTTTAATTCACCAATATCAGCTTCCTGAGAGCGTTGGGCTTGGCCCAATAGAAGGATACAAGGGAAACGGGAGTCCAATTTGGATTTGACCATATTAAATTGGACAAACTACAGAAATAACACATTTTGTTTCACTTATTTCCATTATCCCCTATTACTTTTAAAAATCTCCAAAATTTCTTATGTCTTTAATGTATCCGAGCCAGTATTTAATGTATCCGAGCTAGTTTTTAATGTATCTGAACCACATATTAATGTATCTAAGCCAATATTTAATGTATCCGAGCTACATATTATGTATCCGAGCTACATATTATGTATCTGAGCTACATATTAATGTATCTGAGTCAATATTTAATGTATTTGAACTACATATTAATGTATCCGAGCTTCAATTATTGTATCCGGTTTTTTTAATCTTTAAGGGATTAATGTAATTAGAAACTTATTAGGGATAGATTGTAATTTCATATTAAAACTATGAGATTTATTTAATTTATTCATGCACAAAGAGAGAAAAACTAGGGGAGCTTATATAATCCTCACTAGTTTAGGAGCTAATTACTTATATACACTATAATTTGCAATTTTAAGTATCTTACCAGATTTTGATGCCTCGAGATATGTCTAGGGGTCAAAATTAGGTGTAATTTGTTCTAGATACATTATATCTAATGTATATGTGATACATAACAAATCCCGGTCGCCTCCCTATATGGTAGAAAACTCTTAATTAGTGGTAATATACATAATATTTTGAAAGTATATGTTATAATAGTATATATGGTAATGAAGTATGTCTAATTATATAGTTTTGCACGAAAAAGGATTAGCACGTAATATGCAATTACCAAAGAGCATAATGCATATACAACACATTTTTCTTAATTTAATTCACTAGTTTTTAATCCCACCAATAATTGAAGTTTGATTTCTGGATAATGCTGAGCAAAATATATTGATATATTACTAGAACCAATTCATTTGGAGATGATCTTAAACTATACTATTTTTAATTAGCAAAGTGCATATATACTTTATGTTATGTTTTACGCTTGTTAAATATATAATG